GCCCGGAGCGCGCCCCGCACCTCGCCCCGTGGCGCCCCGGCTGCGACACCCGCCGCGCCGCCGTCGTGGGCCGGGGGGCGGCCCTGCGCCTCGAGAGCTCCGCCGCCTTCCACTCCCTCGTCATCCGCGACGGAGGTAAGCGGGTTCGGCCGCCCCGTCCAGCCGGGCAAGGCAGGTGCCACGTCCCGCTTCAGTGCGGGGGAAGGCGGGCGGCTTTGCCCGTGCACGCGGCAATCCCCGACCCCTCGGGGTGTCCCCGCCGCCTCCTAACCCCACTCCTCTGTCCCCCCTCTTCAGGGAGGCTCGTGTTCGCCGACCGCCCCCACGGGCCGCCCATCACCCTGCGCGCTCGCTACATCCTCATCGAGGACGGCGGGGAGCTGCACATCGGCTCGGAGCGCTGCCCCTACGGCTCGCGCGCCACCATCTCGCTGTTCGGGCGGCCCGAGGGCGCGCCCGTCGAAGGCTTCGGCCACAAGTTCGTGGGCGTGGGGCGCGGCGGGGTGCTCGAGCTGCACGGCCGGCGGCCCCGCGCGTGGACCCTGCTCGCCAGGACCCTGCACCCCGGCGGGCTCCGCCACGGGCCCTACTCGTCCGAGAGGCGCTGGGGCAGCCGCGGCCTCAACGTGCGCGTCCTGGACGCGGGCACGGCGCGGCTGGTGGCGGCCGCGCGCTTCGACACGCACCTGCTGCCCGCCGAGGGCCGGCGGCTGCGCCGCTTCCTGGCGCTGCAGGCGCCCGGCGCCGTGGTGGCGGCCGCCGTCGGGGACTCGGCCGCCCGCAGCCTCACGCCGGACACGCGGCGGCTCCTGCGTGAGCGCCTGGGCAGCCGCCACATCGCGCGGCTGCGCCACAGGTGAGGCGGGCGCGGGGCTCGAACTCGCGGCACCGCGGGGCGCGGAGGCGGGAGGGAGGCGGGGAGGGCGGGGGGCCCGCGGCGCCACCATGGACAGCTCCGCGCGCGGGAGCCCCGGCCGCGCGGTGGGGTCGCGGGTTCGAGTCCCGCGGGTTCGAGTCCCGCGGGCCGCCGCCGCCCTTCGTTCCCAGGGAGGGTGAGCTGCTCTGCGCCATCCCGTCCTGCCCAACGCTGTGGTCCATGCTCCTCCAGGCAGCCTCTAACCCGTGTGCTCCCTCCCGCGCAGGCAGCCCTGGGCTCTGGTGGGGGTCCTTGGCGGGGACCCGCTTGCAACAGTGGAAGATAAGCGAGACTATCATGGCAACGGGACTACAGGGCTAGCCATAGCCCAAAGAGATTTCCAGACCTACGACGGAATCCATTTCACTGTCACGGCTTTCAGCGGATGGGTGAAAGGTCTCCCTTTCACTGTAGGGTCTCCCTACAGTTGTTCCTCTTTGGTTGCTTTGCTCTGGTCTTTCTCCAGCTGCTGCATATCTAAATGATGGGTGATGATAGTGCTGTAGAATTTTGCTCATGTGCCTGGTAGCCAAATTAAGCCACAATGTTCTCATAAAATAACACGTTAGCTACCTAGGAAGAGATGACATTGAAGCATTTAGTGGCCACAACTCTGCTCTCACAGGCATGCAGTTTTCTAGATAAAATTAAATGCTTATGCTCTGTGGCTCATTGCATGGTGGTGGTRTCGTGCACCACTGTAAAATAATCGATGGCTTCGTTTTTCAGGGGTGCCTCATAATGGATTTAAAGTGGAGGTGTCCAAAGGAATAGTTCTTCATTTGGCCGATGAGGTTACAAGTTGGTTACCTGGGGACCGAATAGTCATTGCCAGCACAGATTATTCAATGCATCAAACAGAAGAGTTTAACCTCCTTCCTTGCACCGAATGCCAAAGTAATCAAGTGAAAATTGATGGTATGAAATACTGTATTAAGCTACTCCTTTGTGGTAAATGTTTACATTGTCACTTTTCAGCTTGTCTTTTTAGCTGTATTTTGTGTTATGAATGTACAGGCATGAGATGTGTGAGAGCTGAAGGCCCTTGATAGTGGGACTTCACTGTCTGATTCCTTGTAGAAGCAGAAGAGGCTTCTGGGTTCATTCAGATATTAGTAACTGGCTAATTCCCCAAACTTGGTGATAGAGTAAATCAAAGACTTGTTTGGAGCGGTGTGACAGCAAAGACACCGTCCTTACTCGGAGTAAAGAGASCTCTGCTTTTTGCAGGCAGCCCACTCTACCTTCACATTGGAGAAGTTATAGATGGCGTAGACATGAGGGCCGAGGTTGGTCTTCTCACAAGGAATATACTTATCCAAGGGGAGATGGAGGACTCCTGTTATGGACAAAATCAGTGCCAGTTTTTTCCCTTTGACACGTTTGGAGGACATATTAAAGTGAGTGATTTTTTTAATGCACATGSCTATATGTGAGCATGCTTCCAGATAGCTTCTTTCCTGGTTTGTCCATAGCAATATAATGCATGAAATCACCACAGTGCTAAGGAAAAAGCCTTGCTTGTCTACAGAGGAGGGGAAAGGTGGCTGGGCTAGTCTGCCAAACCAGGCTCCAGATGAGACTGCAGCATTTTCTTCACTGTGTGTGCCAAAACCCACTCTGTGCTGCGCCAGACGGTGCTGGTTAAGCCATCGCTGTGAGCAGGGTTGGCAGGAAGCTCCCCGCTTTGCAAGACGTCACGGGAGACGTGGTTCCTTCCGAGCAAACGCCCCTTCTCTTGCACGGCCCGGGTGCTCCTGGCAGACGGGCAAAGTGTGCCAGGACCTGCTGCCGAGAGGCCGCAGGTAAGCCCAGCCCAGGTGCAGGTGGCTGCAGATGTTGCCCTTTCYGCGCTTGCTCTGAGCGTTGGCGGGTGGGCTCCTCCGTCACCGTCCAGCAGGTGACCCTGCTTGGTGGCATTTGATTCTGCCCTGAATTTGCCCTGCAGAGAGAATTTCACTGGGAAAGAGAACCTATTGGTAAATACTTTGCTATTCCGTAGGCAGCGGGGGGTTCTGTGCACAGCTGTCTCCTGTCAGGAGATGCCATAGGTGCCACRTAGCAACTCCCGGTGGCCAGGCTCGCTCCTGGCATGCTGCTCCCCAGGTGCAGCTCCAACGCCTCCTTCCGCGCTCAGGCCCGGCTTTGTGCTGCCAACACGTTACTGCTGCTGAAAAAGAGAGGAAAAAAAAAGATCCTTTTTTTCTTGCCTCATGTTCTTGTATTGCTAATGTCTTATTTGCACCTACGCTTGTATCAACAGATCCTGAGGAATTTTAGCTCTGTTCACATGTCAGGAGTGGAATTAAAGAACATGGGGCAGCAGGTGCTGGGCAGCTACCCGGTGCACTTCCACTTGGCTGGGGATGTGGACGAGCGAGGAGGATACGAGCGCCCAACCTACCTCGATAACCTGGCCATCCACCACTGCTTCTCGAGGTGTGTTGCCATTCACGGGACTCACGGCCTTCTGGTAGGAGACACATTTTATTAGCACCAAGCTAATTTCTTTGCTTCCGCACTGTTAGGCAGTAGAAATATGTGAGAAGTCTTGCTGCTTTGTGATACAAGGGGAAAGCAGAGTACAGCATCTTTCTTTGCCCTGAGAAATGTCCTCACTCAACAACTGCATTCAATGGGTTTAGGATTGTTGCTGTGCAGTTCTTTGGAGGTGAATTTCAGGTTCTTAATAGTGTTTTATTAATTAATATTACTGCTTATTTGATCAGACATAGTAGATTTTTTTTGCTATTGCTATCCTTAAGTATTTGTGATAATAGAAATTATCATTTATTTTAGGTTCAAAGCTACAGACCTTTAATTTGCAAAGGAGATACGAGAGACAGGAGCTGTCCAAGTCAGGGGCTGTGTGTCAGGAATCCAAAGCGTTCACATGACAAAGGGAATGAAATATGAGAGACACAGACCAGTTGGCCACTTCAGTGCCAGAAAAGCCCGCAGAAACTTGGCTTTGACCTAGATGCTAGCAAGGGCATTGCAGAGAGGAACATTTTTTCAAAAGAAAAAGAATGTGCTTCCACTGTAAAAGATGAGTCGAGGCGCGTCTGACACCATGGGCTCTGCAGGACCCTGCATCGTGTTTCGTGGCCCAGAGGCATTTCCTCACTCGTGTAACGTGTTTAGACAGAGACACTCCCTGAAATATCAGAGACTCCCTGTTTTTTTTCCTGATAACTTTTTCCTGACTCCGGACATAAGCTGCTGTGAGGTGTGAGCATTGGTGGACATTGTGTAAAATGGTCCACTTTAAAGGGTGTTCATGAAAAAGTGATGCTGGAAATGTATGTCTTTTCCATGCACCCTACACTGCTTATATTGCCCAAATCACCAAAATTATATATTGCCTCTCTCATATGTGATGATTTTCTCTGCATATAAAACCTGCTTTAGTTTGCATAGCTCTCAGATAGCAGGAGATGTGCCCAAAATGTACAGAAATAGTGAAGTCCCTTTCTCTTCCCCTTGATACTAAACCTCATGAGTTACAGGAACCTGCCTGGGGTGAAAACTCAGGCCTTACCTGGATGCTCTTGTTGCGAAGATGCTTGTGCTCCAGGCCTTTATCAGAAATAAGGCTGGTAAGGGTTTATCTGGGTGTGTGTGATCCCATACAAGCGAAGTCAGCATGAAGCCAAGTGCGAGGTCAGTCCCCCAGCATGTGGCTGCTGAAGGCCTAGAGTCTGTGAATCAGTGAAAAGATTCCGTAACAAGGGATAAATATGTGATTCTGTGGGAGAATCCTGTGGTTTCAATATAGTAATTGCAACACAGAACAATTAAAATGCATTAAAAGCCTTGCTTTAAACTAAATTACAATAATTTGCAGCTCTGGAGAGCAACACGCGAGGCTGTTCAGTAACACAGATGAGTCCAGCCTTTAGCCTGAGCTTATGAASCTCATGGGGCAGGTTCGAGCAGCCCGCGTCCTTCCCGATGTAATTTCAGAGCGGGGCGGCGGACGCGGCCCCGCCGGCGGCTCCCGTTACCGGCGCGGGTTGCGACCTGCCTGCCCCTCGCCTGGCACACGTCACCTRCTGCGAAGCCTCCGGTCCTCAATGTATAACGTTGCACTGCCTAAAGGTCACGTATATTGTGTTGCTGGGCGGCTCGGGCCCTGTGCGGGACCCGCGGCGGGCAGCGCTCCCGCTGGCACGTACAGTGACGTGCCACTAATGCCACCCGGCCACAGGTGGCCTCTCGCTCCTCTGTTTCCTTTATTTTCTATTGGAGATCTGCCAGAAGTGATGAGTGATCATTAGCAATCATTGCTGTTCTGGCCTGACAACTTGGACCCTTGCCTTTTTGTGTGCATATAAATGATCTTTAAATTACAGTATTTCTGTCTAGGAGGATGGTCCGTTTAGTTTCACGCCTGGAAGTTCTCAGAGGTGTCCATGCATTTGCAGGACTGCGATAAATCACGTTGACTAAAGCTGAAACCTGGTTTTGGATGGAGGTTTCAGATATATAATGCAGCCCATGGAAGCACAGGTTACCTAGACTTCAGCTAAACTCATGACCATAAAGCTCTACAATGGAAATGCTGTTTCCTTTAAGGCAGAGGAAGGTTTGCTGTTATACTTGCCTTCCAAAAAAAGGTCTTCYATGGCATCCTTAACACAATATTAGGATAGGCTATTGGAAGGATATTAGTAGTGGGGCTTGCTGCTCTTTGCAGCTTGGYAAGGAAACATGCATCTTCAAGTAAATTCAGTCCTATCTGTAAGTAACTACCTGTATTTCCAAGACCCAACTGATAGGGAAGCTTTCCCGCAGTGTTGCTGCACGTGGATTCGCTGTGTTCCCTGGTGGATTCCCTAGCTCGCGTGGAGCTCTTGCACTTGTGTCTTGGGTCTCAGTTGATTTCCAAAAATGTGCTAATTGTGGCTTGGTTGCTTGGCTGCGTTTTGCATTATTTTTAACTATTTCTTGAACACCTCATTGAATAGAAACAAAAGCACCTGATGACATGAGTGAGGGGCGACTGCCAGGAAAAAATCCAGTAGACTTAATCCTATGGGATTTGCACTGTTTGTAACTCCAGCTGCTCTGTACAGTGGCGGTTCAGGACAGGACACTTGTGGGATATGACACCAAAATGGATTTAGTTCAGTTCCCCTCTGTGTATGGAAGTAACCAAGTCGGGCAAGATTAGGTAATCCTGCAGCCTTGCACAGCCCTCACTCTAATTGACACCAGCAGGGATTTTGTATGCCCAAAGAATGAATAAGTATTCTGACATGAATCACTTTAAGTACATAGCTACGTTTCAGAAAGACTTAGTAATACATAGTTGGTATTTTAACTAACCTGATTTGCTATTCACATTTAAGGAAGCATTTCTAAATTWGTCTTCATAAAACTGCACATTAAAGGAGGCTTGGGCTAAATCCTCTTGGTCAAATTATGGCTTAATGCAGTATCTCTGCTCGTGTCAGTTAATCTTAAATAGGCTGGAGCAGTGCAAGGCACTCTCCGCTCGATCTGGTCACTGCAGGGGTGAAGTGGCCCTGCAGCTTCTGAGAATGGAGGAGAAACAGAAACTTTGCTAATATCAATTATTTTGCCTGGCACTTTTAAAATATATATATATATATATTTTATTTGGGAAGAGTTGCAGTCTTGAGCATATCTGGATTAATCAGGCTGCTCTGTTAGCTGATCATGTAGCACACATTTAAATAGATATTTAGTCCATGGCACCAAACTGAAAATTCTCTGCTAGAACTGAGGGCAGTTTCAAATGCAGTGTGTTACTATTTTCCTTTAACTAGGCATGTGGTCTTCCCCAAGTGATGTTAATAGGAGTTCTGCTGTATAGCAAAGTCAGACCCCTCTCATACAACCTTCATATAGTTCGAGTAAGCTCCAGTGCTGCAAATGAAGGTGCTGCTCATCATCCCAAACCCTCCTCATGAGCTTTTTGGAGATTATTGCTGAGCAAAGCATGTCAGTAATGGTTGCTGCTACTAGTAGCATTGCAATCCATGGCCTCTCTATTATTCCAGGTGAAAGACAGTATTGGCTATGACACGCTGGGACACTGTTTCTTCCTTGAGGATGGCACGGAGCAGCGCAACACGTTCTACCACAACCTGGGCCTCCTCACGAGGTCGGGGACCATCTTGCCCTCGGATCGCAATGAGGCCATGTGCCTGGCAATCCGCAGCCACGTCTATGGGAATTACATTCCCACGCCAAGCACGGACTGCATGTAAGTCCCCCAGCACCAGATTTGCTCTAGCTTAAAGAACAGTGTGCTGAAACTGAGCTTTTCAAAGGGGAGTGTGCATGATCTCTATTTCATATAATGCCATTGGATGTTAAATGGAAAACTGTGGCTTTACATATCTTACTTTAAAATAATTTAGCTGCTTGACGGTGTTACACTAACAGGTGGAGTCACCTGTTAACATTGGTCTGAACCCTACCAATGCATATTTGCTGCTGTTTATTCCTGCTGTGTTTCTGGAAATCAATCATCATATTAGAGCATTTCATTCATTTTTGAACTATTTTCAATTCATTTTAAGTAGGATGTTGAAGGCTCCGTGAGGTCTGATAAATATAGGTCGCTTAGCCCTGCTGTAAGCTGGCATAAATACTGCTTGCTTCCAACGGAGTTTTTTGCTGGTTTTCACCAGGGATAAATTCRGGCTGTAACATCTAGAGCAAATTAGTCAGAAATACATGAGTACGTTAATGTATAGAGCAAATTAGAATATTTAGAGAGAATGTAGAGATTAGCATAAATTACAATGACCCTCATTTATAGCCCAATAAGCAGTATCCATTGTAACTGGCTAGAGTTCACTTCCATTTTGGAGACTAGCCTACTGCAGCATGGGCAGTCAGGTCACCCGAGTGCTGCCCTGGATGGTGCTTGCAAGAAAGAACATAGTTTAGCCAAGGAAATCTGTATTGTCATGTTTTCTGGAAAATAAATCAGTGGTCAAACACCATTTATTTATTCAAATAACCCTACTGAATGAGTTAGAATTGTAGTTGTCGAAATGCTGTGGTTGACTATGTGGCTCATATAGATTTAGTGTGTATTTATTCAATGACTGAGTTCATCCAAAGGAGTGTGAATTCTTGAATATGTAATAGTTAAGTTGTATTAAAAAGAAATGGCATTTTTGGCTTAAAATGATTAAATTAAATAGTGTGATCATTAGAAAAATATTTTTGGTGTTTTTTCATGAGCTCATGCCAAAGATGTTATCAAATGAAGTAAGAATACAAACCATAGTATTTTCATAACTACATGTGGCTTCTGTTTGTGCCACTACTGATCTTCTGTTTGAAGCAAAAAGTCTTTATTTGAACAAACGTCAAAATAATATCTTCTTAATCTCCCACTTAACAAGACGTTTGCAGCTTGCAAGGATGTTTGTTTGTTCTATGTAAAAGCATCATAAATCCACAGAGATCCCAGACTGCCTCCCCTTCCCCCAAAGTTCTAAAGACCAAAAGCAAAGTTTACTTTTCAGACCTTTTCCAAATGTTTTAGCTTTCAGAAAAAAAAAATGACATCAGGTTTCCTTAAACTGTATTTAACGGAGCATGGATTTTGTGGTAATAGTCTCCTATAGTTTACAATACTTGCAGCATGTGGCTCCATAAATGAACATATCTGCCATCACTAGCTGCCTTTATTTTTTTTTTTCCTTAAACAATATCATTAAAAGGTTGTGTGGAGTTTTTAAGTCAATGGGAGCGTCGTGGCTGAAGTCCAGTGCAGCGCTATGAAAATGTATCCCTTCCTGTTTGGTAACTGCTTAGGTTCATTTTGATTTTGATTTTTCAGGGCTGTCAGCACATTCTGGATTGCAAATCCAAACAACAACTTAATAGAGAATGCAGCAGCTGGTGCTCAGGTAAAATCATTTAGCAGCAAGAGCTATATATTGCCTCCAGTTCCCATATATTCTGCTCTTACTGATGTCGTTAGTGTGAGGGCAATGAATTTTTAGTGCATTGTTGTAAAACCTGGATATATATTTCCGCAAGAGTCCAAAAGCAATTAGGAAATTATAGACCAAATATACAACATCACAGAATATCATCTGGAAAGTCCTGTTTGTACCCAAAGAGCAGCCTTGCTCCCTCATGTGCTTTTCTCTCTCTTGAGAACCACTGCTTGCCTTCAGCTCTCCCACTGGCATCACCAATACAGTTTTCCATCACAACTGTGCTTGGAACTGGTGTGTGGTACCTCTTAGCAAATGCTGCTTTTTATTTGTAGTTAAGGGTTAATATCTCCAGTAATAACATATATTCATATGGTGGCGATGCTATCGTCTACTCAAATCATGCTTAATATGCYTTTGCAGAAGAGGCTGTTTTCTAATAAACCAACAGGATGTCACCCATGCTATATGTATTTTTAAAATCCATGTGTGTGTCCCAGGGACACTCTGCATGCCACAGGATAAGCTGGGAGGTAGAAGAGCAGGGGCTCGAGAATGTCCCAAGGACTCATACATGTTTTGCAGACTCAGTTTAGAAACTGGGCAAGCACACAGTGGGCTAATCTATATCTTTAATTGTGCTCTCCCTCTTCTTTGACCTTCTGCTGTTCTTCAGGATGTCGGGATATGGTACATCTTCCACCGGGTTCCAACCGGGCAGTCCGAGGGACAATATCCAGAGGGACAGGCTGAACATACCCCCTTGGGTGTATTTTACAACAACAGAGTCCACTCCAATTTCAAGGCAGGTGGATGATTTTATGTTACTAGCAATGTGATAGCAAGGCTTAGGGCTGGGTGTGTGTGATGCTCCCATATCAGAAGATCTTTGTGGGTACCTTGAGTTTTTGTAATGGTCTTCCAAGCTGAGCAGGTGTTTTGTGCTGCTCCCTCATGGAGGAGGTGCCTGTTGATGCTCTGGTTGTCCAAAGCATAGGCAGTAATCTGCTCCCTGGAGCACGGTGCAGCAAGACAGCAAGGACTGCTTGCTACAAGGGTGACACAGGGGGATGTGCAGCGATATAGATGAAGGGCTGGGTTCACCCTGTTCAGCTTCAACTGGTTTACTGGATGCATTAATAAAGTATGATATTTTGTCACTGTCACCAAGAGTCATCTAGCTCTTGGGGATGCTCTTTCCACTGCTTTCAGAGGGAGCTGAGCAGAATGAGGCTCGTGATTTTGGGGGCTTTGGGTGGCTGTCTGAGCTGGGTGCCTGGCCAGGCTGTAAAGGCGGGATAGAATCATCGAATCATTAACGGTTGGAAAAGACCTTCAAGATCATCAAGCCCAACCATAAACCCATCACTACCACGCCTGTTAAACCATGTCCCTAAGTGCCTGCTCTAAGGAAGTGCGGGCAGGACTGAGCACGCTGTGGGCTGCAGCCCTGTAAGGGTTGTGGAGCTCGAGCCAGCATCTGCTCATGGCCTTTGCAAAATGAGACAAAAAACTCCAGCGTTAGCTGCAAGAAAAACTCTYCTTGCCAAATATACTGTTGACATGAAAACTTACACTGTAAGCTATAAAAAGCATTTCAAACTTATTTCCTAGAATTCTAAACTGAAAGCAGGGCTGCTTTTTGTGCCTTGCCTATATTGTATCTGCTCCATGACAGCTGTTGCTCTCCGGAAATGTTTAACTTGGCTGCAGCAGCTCCTGTTCGCTGTGAATGTTGCGGGGCTCAGTGCTCTTTAGCTAAAGCCTCGCTTCGTAGCAATGCTCTTTTTCCAAAGAGTTATCAAGAGCTTGGCAGCGGCGCCTGCTGCTCTCTGTGAGCGTGAGTGGGAGTCAGTGCTTTGTGCTGGGTCACAAGGCAGCCCCAGATACTGATGTTTAACACGTGTTGGGCAGCACCCTGGCCACATTGGGCTCACYGCATCCCGGGCTCATGTCACGGTACCAAGGGGCACGGAAAAGGCAGCGCCTGCCTGGCCTTGGGGGCACTCACAGCACCTGAGCGCGCTGGCTGCCMCCATTCATTGCTAAAAGCCATGACCTTGGGGCTCTGAGGTGCAGTCTGCTAAAATCATCGGAACTGCTTTATTTCCAGGCCGGTTTGTTTATTGGTAAAGGAGTAAAGACAACGAGAGCCAGCGCTGAAGATCCCAGAGAGTATCTCACTGTGGATAATGCCAGGTAAGCAAAAGCACGGCTAAGCGGTTTGCTTCCTTGGATTGCTCCTTGGCCCCTGTGTTGTGTTTAGCACGTCATTATGCCTCGTTATGGCTGAGCATCTGAGAATACACACAAGCTATCTGTGATGTCCAGAGGCACCTACTTCATAGCTATTCATCGTCTGTGTTATTGCCGATCAAAACTGATCTGCATGCACTTGGGGCTGCGAGCACTAAGCAGGGAAGCGCTTGAGAAAGGCTATAGATTCCATTATTGCTCCAGCAGCTCTGGAAACTTTGGCACTGTTTATTAATTATTTAGAGGATTTGAAATCCAAAAGATGACATAAGAGATTGCTGAGACAAGCCTCTGATTAATGAGGAAAGTAAGGCACAGTTAATGCAGTCTCCATGCTTTTTGTCAGTGTATAAACGTGTCTACTGAAATTTTCTGAGCTTCCTTTCTCAGAGGGGGAGCAGGTAAATTAATGCCATTTTCCTGCTCACGATGGTCCTGGGGGTCTATGTGAGAGGGACGTGGCACAAATCAGCTGCTGCTCTCAGCCAGGTCTCTGCTTTTTCCCTTCTCTCTCATACATCATTCATGCCACATATGATTCTCCCTTATGGTTAAAAGGTTGACTTTGCCTCCCTGCTTCTTTCCCAGGGCTTGGGCTCTAGGATGTGTCTTAGTATTTCAGCTGGAAGAAGTAGCATGTGAAGGTGCACTGAGAATAAACAAAGTGTTTTTATCCCCAAAACAGCACAAGTCTCCCATTAACAGCCAATGGGGCAAGAAATATTCTAAAAGTAATTGAGAGGCATCAAATTTCTAGGCAGAATCCTTTTCTCATGTGGTGGTTTCACTGTCGGCAGAGCAAGGAGCCTATGGAAGTACACATACATGCAATGTAACTATCTCCAATTACTCAGTTATCTTATAGTTGTCTATATTGAAAGCATCTAATTGATTTTTCTAGCCCAAATCCAGGGTTTCTCAGTGCATCTTGGAAGGGCAATTACAAAAGGACCCAAGTGACTGGGTAAAAAGCATTCTCTGCCTCTAATTCGCACTGAAGCAGATCAAGGGATAATTGTGGGTCCACTGAAGCCCAGTCAGACATCACCTGTTGGTCTGACCAGGGCAAGGCTTTCACCCTGATTAAGGTTTATTATTTTCCACTTTATAAGAAAGCTCAGTAATGACATCCAACATAATACTACCTCTACAGGCCCATCCTCATCACAAACGTAATGAGCTCTGCCTGGCCGGAGCTCCTGTGTCTAAGGTTGTTTCCCATTTTCTCAATGCTGTGCTAACCAGTCTCCTTGCTTCAGGTTTCGCCCACATCAAGATGCCGATCCTGAAAAGCCACGAGTTCCTGCCATAATTGATGGACTTATTGCTTTTAAGAATAATGACCACGGGGCCTGGGCCCGGGGCGGCGACATCATTTTCCGCAACTCAGGGTAGGTTACTGTAAACCCTGGGGTATTTCACACTCCTCGTGTTGGACATCAGGAAGTCTGTAGATTGACTGCACCTCCAACATGCCCAGCGACTCACGCTGTCGTGTTTTGTCCATCCTAGGTTTTCCGACAATGGAATTGGACTCACTCTAGCAAGGTAATTTCTTAAAATGTGTGTTTTACCCTCCTTTCCCGCCCCCTACCCAATTCTCATAACTTTCCCATGATAGTTATGGCAAGATGCACGCAAATCTCATCTTCCTCCAAAGCCACATCCAGTCTGCTTGGTGAAGCAGTCACTACGAGGGGCAGGTTGGCCTTGCATTCTCTTTGCCTGGGAACGTGTCCTTAGAGGTGGTTATCACCTTTTGGCCCCTGGGTTCTGAACCTGTAGACTAAGCATCTGGCCATGCATTTGGGGACATTTTCCTCACAGCACTTGGCCAAGCAAAGGCCACCTCCTTGAGTGGACTCCCAAAGAACAGCTGCATGGCCAAAGGCACCTAATGGCCAAGTTACTAGCTCTGCTACTTATGCTTGGTTGCTGCTTTGTAAGAGGTTTTAAACCACACCATTACAGTGGTAAATGTGGGGCTTTTTCCAATAAAAAAAATATCCTGACTTCAGAAGTGTAATTAAAAGCATTAATTGGCAGTGCGCTGCATAGTTATTGTGCATTTCTCTGTCTGATCGTAGTGATGGAACTTTCCCAACAGATGACGGCTCCAGCTTGGAGGTTTCACGCTCCATTTTTGTTGGAGAAAGCAGCAACCTTGGCTCCCGAGGAGGCCAAAACAGCTATTGGGGAAGAGGGGCAAACGGCGAGTACAGAACCCTGCCYAGAAATCAGTAAGTTTTTTATGTGCTATTTCTTCCTGGCATTAGCTTTTGCTTGAAAAAAAAAAATCCTCAGGAATGATTGTGAATAGAAAAGAGTAATTTATACCAGGTGATTAAATTATTGTACGGGCCAGAAGTAATAAGCATCCAAATGAACTCAGGGCAACAGTTTGAGAGCTTCCCCAACCAAATGTGTTTGATTTAATTTTCTGCTTAATTTATTGGTCACTGGAGAGTAGCGTAGAGAATGTGAGAGATAGCAACCTGCTTTTCCTCAGTGCTTGAGGAGCACACGACGTGTGAGCTATGGGGCCAGTTCGTGTTCGGTGCAGATGCTGCCGGTGCCTGGCCGGTGTCAGATGGTTGTTCTCTCCACACACCATGGTGCTAAATGGGATGTGGAGGTGATACCCATCCCACCAGAAATCAAAGTCACTTTGCTGGCAAAAGCAACAAACAACAGAGTGAGCAGGAATGCCGCTTGCACCCGCTGTCGTCAATTGGCAAAGTGTTTCTGGGTACCTAGAGCCAACTAGTGAGAAAAAAGCAGAGGCTTAGGAGAAATCTGGGCCTCTGTTATTCACAGACCAGAGAGACCTTGTGGAGCCCTGTGGAGGTTTTTGTTTCCTGCTTTGTGGGTCCTAAGTCTGAGCAACCCAACTGTCTGTCTGCCAGCGGGCAGGTAGAGCTCTACCCTTCCAGGGCTCTGCTGGCCACTCCATTGTGGGTTGCAAAGTCCAAGTCATCCACCCCTTCATCGGAGCCAAATGAAACTTGGTACCTTCTCAAAACAGAACTTGAAAGAGGCAAGTTCTTACCTGYGGCTCCAGTGATGTCTCCTTCAGTTCTGCCAATCTGCCAGGGCATCTGTGTGGCGGTACTGAAGGAATCACCTTTCTGCACAAAATGTGGTGCACTAGGTCCTGGGCATCTCCTGTAGAGAAGAGAAGCTGTGCTGTGCCACCCGGCAGTTATTTCCAAGGAGTCATTTTGGCCTCTAGGGAGTGACTGGTACTACTTTCTCAATCCCACTTACGTTTTCCTGAGAAACCAGTCTTTCCTGGAACAGGAAACCCAACAGGAAGATCTGACAGTCTGTATCCATAGGGGCTTCCTCATAGCAAGGAGTCCCTGGAGGCAGGGAACAGCTTTGAACTGTTTTACCCCAGCTGATAAGCTGAGTCTTTTTTCATTAAACATTTTGTGCTGTGGCATATGTTCAGCAAAATTGCAACTTTCCTTAATTGTGTGATGAGCCTCCAGATCCAAGGTTCAGGAGGGAAAAGTTTTAGCTCTTGTTAATACATTTTTGTTCTTTGGGAAGAGGATCCAGACCTTGCCCGGACTTTTTAATACAGATGAGTGTTTTTCTTTTTTAATTTCRCAGAACATTCCCTATTCGTGGATTCCAGATTTATGATGGACCTGTCAGGATGACAAAATGCACTTTCAAGAAGTTCACCCCAACTGCTGACAGATACTCAAGTGCCATTGGGTTCTTCATGAAGAACTCCTGGCAGATAAGCCCCCAGAACAATGTGTCACAGATCCTGATGGAAAAAAGTGTAAGTAAGAAAAGCAGGAGTGCATGCTGTTAGATGTCCAAATTTGCAAAGGTTTTTAATTGGTGAGAGATTKATTCTAGAGCAGGAATTTCCAGGCTGCAGTACGTGTTACTTTGGTGCATAACCATTGATTCATTTGGCAACACTTTGTTGTCCTATCGAAGGTTATCCATAAACCAGAAAAATTTGGGAAATACTGATACAGAGGTATCTTATGCCTGAGAGGACATGAATAAAAAAAATCTGCAGGAGAGGAAGGTTTTACCTTGTAACCAGAACTTCCAGAGCACCTGCCTTAGCTGGTGAGGCCTTGCCTACTTATACATGCCAAAGACTTGGCCTCAGAGTTGAGAAGGGCACAAGTGAAATGCCAGGTGTCAGTGGGCAGCAAATCAGTCCTCATAAAGAAATCAGCTCATGCAAGTAGAAACAAAAACATGAGGGTCAGCAATGGAATTTTGGTTGAGCACAACAGGGATTTTTCTTGAGAAATGGCAGCAGAATGGGGCTCTTTATATATGCCTTGGCAGGAGTTTTAGGATGCTGAGCAATTCCAGTCTTTGTCTAGGATTCATGCAGGGATCATGTCCTTGGACACGTGGCCTGGGAAATGATGGATTCCACCTGSTTTACTCTCAGAGATTGCAACCTCTGCTTAGCTTTCCTGAAACAAGGTCGCTGCTTGTTAGGATGTCCATGAACTCTGGTAACTTTGGTTTGAGGTTTGGCTTTGTTTTAAGGAAAATTTCCATTCTCTGGAACTGACCGATATCACTACATCTGGCAAGCAGTCAGTTTGTCTGTCCCTACTCTGTTACACTTAGACCATTGACACGAAGGTCCTTTATGCAAAGATGATATCGATTGCAGACACTTGACTGCTCCTTTAATGGAAATAGAGTCCCTGAATTTTGGTAAGGAGACCTTAGTTATCTTAGGTAGTGGAAGGAGCATTAGAAAGAGAGTAAGGGCTGGTCTTCTGGACCTCTTCTATACCCACCATGGTGAAAAGGCTAAAAGATGTTTGTGAGCATCATGAAATGAGATAGATAGTCAACATGGAAGAGGAAGGGATGCTTAGAGTAAAATATAAAATGAAAAGGCTTGATTCTTTGGAGGGACTGAAGAGAGTGGAAATTTTCTTCTAGTAATGACTATAAGACTCTATCCAGCAGAATGGTTTCAGAGAGATTATATCTGTGCACGTTAGCAAAGGAGATCATTATCTGTGAAAGAGCTGAAAACGCAGCTTTTTAAACCATTTTTAATGGTATTGTACCATTTGATGACAATAAACCTTTTAAATATCCCAGCATATTTTGTGTAAGAGACAATTTAATAATGCAACACCTTTAGAAACTGGTATATTCAAGGCAAAAATGAACTAAAAGCTTCTGTAATGCAAATTAAAATATTATAGCTTCAGTCTATTATAAGAAGTAACGGCATAATCCAAATAATTATTACTTGTATATACATTTCCAACAAATGTGTCTATTTCCAAAGCTGGTGTTTTGCCAGCTTAAAAGCCATTTATGCTTATAACCACCTGCATCCCAGAATTTTTCACTTTGATTCTATTTATCTGGATTGAACCCAGATGTGCTAAATCTGGTTTCAGTCTTGAAGGACTATGGTTAGTTCATTGTTTTGTTGCTAATTGCTACATGGGACAGTATGTCTCTGACTAGTTAAAATAGAGTGTGTAGACTGTTTTAATTAATTTTCCATCTTCAGGCTTAATTTTATTACTTTTTAAAGAGTAATTTTATTCATTCCCTAAAGGACAATCATTTTACAGTTGTTTTCAAGAAGAAATTAACCGTTACTTCAAGCTGCATAGTCATAGTAAAACTGTTCCTCATGCAGAAGGAATAATTGCATAATTATTCAGGCTAATCAGCTAATTTGTTAGACAACAAAATAGTAAATCCAGTTGCTTAAAGACTCACATAAAAATAATCAGTTAGGCAGAGCAGAAGAACTAAGCCTCATACCTTGCAGAAAGTATTCTAGTCACCTTTCTGATGATATTCTGATGAAGATATTCTTCACTTAACACTAACCTCATTACTGCTAGGCTTTTTAAAATTCAGATGCTCCTAAAAGATTATTTGCAAGTAATGGCTTTGAAATATATCTATTTTTGTTAGTCCCATTTTTTTTTCCTTGCAGCCAGGAGGTTAGGGTGGATTTAAGCCTATTTTAGTCCTGGTGGCATCTTTGGATTAGAGAATCCCGACCAAAGGAGACTTGCAGGATCAGGATTGAGTGATTYGCAACACTCAAAGTAAAAGCCACGTTAATGCATGCAGAGCTCGCAGGTTATCAAGTAGAGGAAGAGTCATACTGGTAAAAAATGGTTTCCTTAAAATGATTGCAGTGGTAAAACTTGCATTGGCAGCTTGGGCCACCACTGGAGTTTTAGAAAAAGCTGTGAGTTGTTATGATATTTTACAATGCACTATGAAATTTTAATCTAAAGAGAAGTTACTAATTTCCCCTGCAGTCTTTCTGTAGGTGCCTAGGTTGCCTTTGGAGAGGTTTAGCGTCTATGTTCCTCTCTAGAAGATTACGTCCTCCATAACTGTCATCCATTGGGCACCACTGCCACGCTCCAGACAAAGTTCACGGTCCGTATTTACTGTGTTGCTCATAGAGAACCCGTCTCTCCACTCTGTTTATCTATTTATCTCCTTCCCAGCCACAAAAGGCTATACCAGCTTAGCTGGGTCTTTTCTCTGTCCATGGATGTCCACTTAGGAAGAAGTATGTTGCCGTAACTGCCACCTCAGTGCACACCCCATAGCTCGGCGTAAGGATAATCTTATCCTCAAATTTGTAAAAAAGTGGCTTTGCTCTTTAACATTTCCCACTGCATTTCTGATTTTTCAGGCATTTTAGAGGAGAATGTTAGGAATCAGATTAAGGTGTTAGCACCAAAACTGTTTGCTCCTGAATGGGAACACTGAATGGCTTAATTGAAGGCAAGCTGTACAGGCTGTCCCTTACTTTGTTTGGAAGTACAGCGGAGCTGATTCTCTCCTCAAGTGCCCCCTTTCAGCCCCAGAAGTGCCCTGCCACCGGCTGTTTGTGAGGCACATTGGAGCTACAGGGTGTATTTTGTTAATATTTCCTCTTTTATTAATGAAAAAAGAAGTCCTTGGGGATCTTTCTTCTTTGCCAAATAGCCCTTTGGGAAAAAGAAAAATCCTGCAGTGCAGTAGGAAAAGGGTTTAAGACACTCAAAGTACACATTAAATTTCCATATGTTTGAGTCTCCTTTAAATGAGACTCCTTTGGGTGTTTGTTTATGAGACTAGTACATAGACAAGGAGGTGGCAGAGAAATGGTTCTAGGGTCTAATTTAGTTTTAAAGTAATAAAAACTTTACAGAACAGTCAAAGTTCTGGCTGTTTTTATTCTTCAAGTAGTTCTTGCTACAATGATCATTCATTTTAAACTTTTCCATCTTTAGGACTTTCCATCTAAATAACAGTAACAAGGAACCTCCTATTCTCCTAAGTTGTTCTATTTAGTATTGTGAAAGTAAAGCCTTTAAAACCCTTAGTAAACTTGCAGCCTAATCCTGCTGACCCTAATTCTCATGTGCACAGTCCAATTAAAATTAGTGGAAGTAGGTGGAACAAGTTACATTCCTTTGGTTCTGCGTGATCAGGCCACTGTTTGTGTTGTGTCCTTAAATACATATTGCTCATGGATTCATTCAGAGTATTTGACCTGGAGTACGTATTGTCTTGAGTACCTCAGATCTTAATCATTGTGCACTCTAATAGCCTTCTCCATGGATATGCAGATATTTCATGGCTTTTTGCTGAGCATCTGCAGTTTTCCCTGTTTTTCTGTATTTTCATATCAGGACTTTGAAAACAGCTATGTATAATACGGATAATGTTGTTTCCTGTTATTTCTCTTTTCTAAAGGAAATAAAAATAAATCTCCAGTGGATATCACAGACTGTGAACAAGAGGCAGGAGGCAGTTCTGAGATGTCAAATATATGAGTTTCCTAAGGATTAGGAGGAATTAGAAAATTAGAAAAAATAATGGCACTTGCAGAGCCACTTAGGACAGCCTTTAAAAATATGCAAGAAAATTCACTATATATCTAGTATTTCTCTTTTCTTGGACCACACTGTGAGAGAGGCTGACTACTACTCAGTGAATTTCATAACYGTCCACTACTTCCTTAGTCTTTGAGTCATCCTGTTTGTTCTTGACACAGTGCAATTTATTACTGTATGATTTCAAGGAATAATGGTCATACACATGCATTTAGAAGAAATGAAAATCTCATCTTTGTGAAAATATCTCCTGGGATTAAGAAATGAGGGGGAAAACCAGACATGTTTCTAAATAGAAGAGGCAAGAGATTGCCTTACTGAAACAATGGGGCTTTCTAGTTAAAGCTGTATCCCTGGCTTGGCTCTGAAGACCCTGCAAATCCAAGTCCTCATTTAGAGCTAACCAATTTTTTATTTCCTCTTCTTCTTTTCTGCTAGGTTGGACTGGAAGTGTTTTTTGGCAAATCAGGCCAGTGGTTTGGAAACAACGATAATGATGGTGACAAAATGTCTATCTTCCATGATCTGGATGGGTCTGTGACAGGATACCCGGACACTTTTGTAGGCCGAGCTGACAACTACTTGCTTCATCACCCCGGATGTCTCACTGTGCCCCGCTGGAACGGGATGATCTGTACCGGGAAGTTTGCCCAGGTAACGTGTGGAGGCTGCATGCCAGGGGTGGATGTTCTCACATGCCAGCGAGAGGTGCTGGAGTGCAGCCTATTCAACATTGCATAAGATGAGAGTTGGATAGTGAATTGAGTATAATTTTACTTTTCTTTGTATTATTGGCTTATCTCCAAGGAGTCAATTGATGAAATCAGGTGTTTGAGACACAAACACACATTTAGTTCTGCTTCCCCTTCAGAAACCACTGATACATTGGTCTAGGGCAAGGTGGGCAGCTGTTTTCTTCAGTGCATATGAGTTAGAGGCCTTAGTTGTGAGATCAACACGTTGGTAGAAAGGGCTATGAAAGAATGGAAGAGGAAAATAGTAAACTGAGGGGAATAAGACCTCAAAAACAGACTTTGGCTCATCATATACTGCTCAGATTACCGCAGGATTTTTGTGTATGAGATGGAGCATACTGTAAATGTTTAAAAACTTCAGTTCCTTGGAAATCTTGCCAGCCCTTCTTCCTCCTTCTGTTCAACAAGATGAATTTTAAGACTGTGTATGGCAGGTGTACTCAGCACCATGTGGACCGCGGCTGGGCTGCGTGTCTTGGGAGCCCCCAGGAGATAACGGCTTTTGAAAGGGACATGATGTTCTCCTTTCCTCCAAGAACAGCCCTTCAGCAGAGAGTGCAATGGGTGAACTTGCGGGGTCTGAAAGGCAAGAATGGAATATGGAATAATCTTAAAAAACAAAAAGTCAGAGTTCATTAGATACAGCTGGTGCCATTTGATGCAGCTGGTGCTTTTTTTTTTTTTTTTTAAGAATCTTCTGTGCATTTGGCAGCACATTGCAAAGTTGTATTTCATTGGGAGTCAGTAATCATTACCCAGACATGAGGACATGAGCATGGTAAGCTAGCACATAGGATAAAACACAGCATCAAACACAGCCTGAAGTCATCAAAGACAGAGTAGTGTTAAAATTGACCCCTGAGAGGAGCAGAATGTCAGGTTTTGCTTTTTCACAAGCAGCTCCGTGAGTACAGGGCTTAGCAGAGCCTGATTGCCTTGAGTTGTGTCTGGCAATGGGTTACAAACTCAAACTGATGGTTTTCCCACATTGGGATTCCTGAAGGCTCCTTCTCCAAGGCTTCTCTGATGTGTAGCGATATGTGGGCTTGCACCTCCCGTGTCCCCTCAGGCCATCGCTCATAACTCTCTGCTTCTCTTTCTCCAAAGCACTTGTCTGCATGAAACTTTTAGGAGTTTATTTTTCTTTGAGACCTCTATGCATTCATAATATATGCACTCTTATCCAGTTAATGTGTTTCTATGCATTRCTTTAATTGCACAGTAGAGAGAAGGAATTGCTATTTAAGTCCCTAGATACTTTACTTATATCTCCTATTTTACTAATGGCAAGTAGAAAAAGGACTTGGCACCTATGAAACCATCCACTGAACTCAGGGGTTTGTGCTTGACACCTACATTTTACTGTGTGTCAATAGAGAAAATAAGTAATACTCTGTGTCCTGGCAACCTAACAGTTAACTTCAGAATTGTAAATGAGCAGGCATTTATAYTTCTTATTTCTGTTTTTACCCTCCCACTCATGGCACTCTATGTGGTGAGGCAGTTTTTCCGCCATAGAAAATTTCCTTGGCTAGGTTTAGGCAAGTGTAAACATCAGTTTCTCTGGGATCTGTTGCTTACCAGCRCTTTTCATTTAATCAACATTCAACAGGGTGCATGAAGCTCAGATTAAATGCTTCACTTTATGGGTTTGCGTAGGAAAATGTATCTCCATGCAGTGTGGAGGAAATTTGTCCTGTACAGCAGGACTTGATTAAATTTGCAGGGTGTAACTGCTGGAGTACTTGAGAATAACCTGGATTCTCAGCATTTTGACAAACTGATGATTTGTTTGGGTGCTAAATTCTGAGTATCGTATTGCAGACCAAAAGCCTAAAAGACAGAATCCAATTATAGAGAAAGATGGTTTTGCTTTGATCTTCGCAGCTCTATTACAAGATGTGTTTTTCTTTCCCTTTTTGCGTAGCGCTGCTAGACAGGAACTGTTATTCTTCCCTGGCGTGAGCAGGTGAAAATGCCCTTTCCCTTCAAGGAAAGAGTGACTCTTATATTGCCCCAGAGCTGGGCCCTAGATGCTGAGTCTAGGGTTGGGCTACCTGGCATGGAAAAACGAGCTCCAAGCCTCCAGCTAGTGCTGCAGCCAAATCCTGTCGGAGCAAAGTGCCTACGGTTCAGGGAATTCCTTTTGCCCGTGTTGTCTCATTCATTTTTCTTGTTCTTATTTTCCTGGATTTGATTTGCCCAAGGAAGGAGAAGTCTTGGGAAAGCCTGTTTGGGGAGATTTTCCTTGGGGTGTTTCCTTCCGCCATCTCGTGCTCCGGTCTCCCCACATCTGGTTTGTGTCCCTCGGAGATGCATCTCTGAACACATCTCCCGAGCTTCCCCTCGGCAGGGAGCACTGCCTGCCTTTAGCTACCAGCAAAACTCCAGGGGTGAGCTGGAAATCACCAGCTTTACACAGGTAATAAATGTCAGGCCTTGGTTGTCCTCCCTTTTTCACTGGGGAGCCTGTGGAGTTGATGCTGTCAAAACAGGGCCGGCCCCTCTCTTTGTAAGGGCAGCCGGAGCAGCCCTGTTGCAATATAAACAGTGYGAGGCTCTAAGGAAGGACATCAAAGAGGCCAGGCTGGCGGGGAAGTCACAGGAGTTGGCAGCTCTGCAGCTCCTGGCAAGTCTCGATGACTCACGCAGGCTCTGTCAGTCCTAGGTGTCCTGTCACCCTGCCATTCAGCTGCTGCAGGGGCCTGTAATGAAGGAAAAATGCAGGGAGCGGCACATACCATAATTACCTCCACGTAGGTGGATGAGGTTTCCCAAGGCTGCAACCGGAGGCTCCTCAAGGCCTGCAATCCTGCAGAAAACATAATTGAGATTCCCAAAGGGTCTGATTTTTGCATAAATCCAGAGGCAAGTGCCTTGGCTCCCAGTGGATGCTGCAGAATTACGGCTTCCTCACTGACTTTGCAGCAGTTTTCCAGAAGAGGCTGTGCCACTTCCCTTTATTTTTTTGATATTTCAATAAAACAGGCAGTGTTCTGGGCAGCATATGCTACTTTCTTGTACAAGCATAGAAGCATAGAAGATGTTAATATTCATGAGAGATTGCTGCATAACTCAATTAGTGCAAGTTCTGAAGGAGAGATGGATGTGTTGCTCCTACAAAATAATTAAAGGCCAAGTTGCTGATTTTTCACCAGTTTGCTCCACCGGGTCGCTACCTTCTTCTTGCAGGTGGCTAAAATAGAAATTGTTCCGTTTCTGTTGATGCTGTTTCTGCAGTGAGTGGGATCACACTGCTCCTGCATCTCCCCTGTGCTTAGTTATGTTCCTTCCACTGGCATCCACTTGCACAATCCAGCAGCTGCTTAGCCGGTTCGCACACTTATGTGTCTACATGGAAAGCGAGCAGGAGATGCAGGACRTACCCAGCTGTGCTAGGGCAAGTTGGCTTTTCCAAGCACGGGCACCACTGCATGTGTCGTCCATAACGCTAGAGGAGGGTCCACATCTCACAAGCGGTGCAGAAGGAAAGATCTGCAGGMTGTATTTCTGCTAATGCTGTCTCTGTGTGGACAAAGAGGTCCACTTTTGGTCTCTGATGCACACTGGTGGAAATTCAAGGTAGTTCTACTGACATCAGCAAAGCTGCTGTTGTTTTTAGGGCCAGAACTGATCCCAACATGTCTTGCAGAAMGAAAAACCTGTATTTGCTTTCTGAAATAATTCTTAGGTCTTAATTTGGAAACTTCATAGAGGAAAGAAAAAGTGTTGTACTGGGAAATAAGTCTTTCTYGACCAGGCAAACAGCCTGAAGAGCAGAATACCTGTTTTGAGCTTCTCATTTTTAAGATTTTTGGCCCACTTTGACAGCCAGCAGTGCAGCCAGGCAACGTTAAAGAAACCAGAAAGCAAGCAAACGGTGTCTCAGAAACCAAGACTTTCTGTTCCAGTACAGTACTTTGCATGTTGCTTATCTTCATATTCACTACCCAGCTGAATAGCAAATCCCATATGAATTGTAAAAGAACTTATCTTCTCAGTTTCACAATCTACTTGGGAAAATTTCCATGTAAGCAGAGGGAAATCTGACACATCTTTCCAGCATGAAGTGTTAAGCAGCTAAAATGACAACTATGTCCATTAAACCATCCAGGCAAGTAGTCGGATCACATTTTATAGCATTTTAACTAGCTCTTCTCCTAGAACATTAAGCTGTCACCAATTCTCATATTTTAGAGTATCTTTATGATCCCCTTTTTTCTTTTAAATAATTTGGTAGATCTAATGAAAAATCAGATGCTGCTGGGAAGATGGGGATTTTAACCTAGAACTAAATTCTCCTGCTCCCTTTTGCTCCTGYTCACCAGTTTTGCAAATGCAGGTGCAAAGAAGGAAAGCCATAAAGTTCTCCAAGGTAGTTCAAGTGAGTAAAGATGTGATGAAATAACAGGTGGAGGAGGAAAGAGGCTGTGACATTTGGCTCCTGACCCATGTTCTTCGCCATCTTTTTGTTGCCACATCCAGCAACCTCTTCCAGTGCTTTATTGAACCCAATAGTCGTAGTAAGCAACGTGGGCTGTGCATAATGGGTCTGCTTTTTTATTTTTAAACACAGTCAAATAGCTTAAGGTATGTAGGAGTCTTTTATGCCTAGTAGTCTCAAATTTGGGAACTCTGGATTGGCTTCAAGGTGAGTTTTTTKGGGGTTTTTTGGGGCTTATTTTATCATTGCTGCTTTTAATTTTCTAATAAATGCACTGAAGCTGCCACCTTTAACATTCTGGATTTTTTTTCTATATTTGAAGGAAATAACATTAAAGTTTACTGTGACAGGGCAGAAATTGTTGTCTCTTACCCAGAAAGATACAAGGGGAGTATTATTTTGCAATATCAGACATCGCTTTCACTGTTCTTTTTCATAAAAATGATGTTTTGATTGAGAATGATTAATGCATTCATAGGCTTTCAGATCAGAAGGGACTTTTCTGATTGTCTCCTCTGACCCCAGCACTGTACCCACTGGGGAGCACAAATRAGGTTGAAAGGTGATTTATTGCATTGCACATAACTGAATTTCCAATCGTAGCTTGAATTTTCAGGGAAAATAGGTTTTGCTCTTCGGCTTCATAGATAAGAGGGTTTTTTTATCAGCTGGTAAAARTAATTTGTTCTTTCCTGAGCCATGAAGAACGAACAAATGAGCTGCTACTTAGAGATTGTTTGGGGTAAATTACTTGATCAATAGTTTTCAGCCATCAAGAAAATCTGGTGTTCAATACAACTTTGGGATATGCATTAATCTTAAAGGATCTGTAGATATTACTCAGAGCACTGTTTCACCATTAAAGATTTGCACTGCTGGAAAAGGCGAAACAAACTGAATATCCAAGAAACTTTTACAACCACTTTTGGATGATTTTTTTTTTGACTGCAGCCCAGATCCCGGGGCCAGGCAGGGATTAGGCACAAGTGAGCTGCCTTTCGTGGGAGCTGAGGAGCCCAAACTCAGCCCTGCCAAGGGCAGACTTGAGCACGGGCTTTTTCTGAGCACCGAGCACCTCTGTTAGAGCACGAAACTAGAACAGRGAGCCAAACTGGCAACTTCCAGGCAGGAAAATTGCAGCTTTAGATCTTAAGCTGAAACTATTCCAAAAATATCATGCCGTAAATAGACTTCAAGTTAAATAACCCCCATGYTGGAGACCCCTCCTCTGTCTTCTGTCAAGTTAATTTGCTATTGCCAAGGAGTCACGGTCCAAGGCGAAAGGGAAAAGAGGCTGCCACTTTGGGGCTTGTGTGGTCCACGGAAAGGCAAGGCAAATGTCATGGCAAGCACCTGCCTCTTGGCTGTGGTCCGGAGTCAGGAAAGCGATTTCTGACTCCAAAAACAAATGTGCAGCTGCTAGACACCCCAACTGAAACAAGCCCATACATTAAACAGCAAGAGATGGTCTGCACGGCAGAGCTTGAAGTCTAAGTAGACAAGAGAGGGAGGAGAAGCAGATACGGGGATGTAAAGGGCCAAGATCTCGTAGCAAGGTCCAGAGAGAGCTTGCAGGAGCACACATCTGTGCCAAGAGGCTGCTAGTCCTGGCTGTGCTTGTATCCTTGCCCTTGGTATTAAAATCTGTTAAACGACTACTGCATCCATTTTGACTTGTCTCAAGGACAGAAACTGAGTTTAAAATTAATTGTGTTGGATAGAAACTTAGGTATTTCAGAAGTAATCTGGCTTTTTATGTTTGATATTTTAAGTTTCTCATGCAAAGAGCACTTTGTGTGTGGAAGAGAGGGAAGGAAGCAGCTTCCCTCTCTGTAGTTGAAACCTTTCAGGAATATGACAAGCAGCATCCCTGCGTGTCAAGCCAGATTTATATGTGTGGCTGTGCATCCTCCTTTTGTGCAAGACTTTCTCACTGACTATGGTAGATGAACATCACATATTCAGCCCCAAAGCTAACAATTTCCACATGGATTGGCTTTCATTTGAGATGATGACAGGACAAAAGAAAACATATAGTTGAGGTAGTTTGTAATTGGTCTGGAGTGTTGATCTCCAAGCCAAGGGCATCTTCTAGTCTCTGAATGGAAGAGCTCTCCACTGAAGCATGGGCAACAAGTCATTTAGCTCTGAAAATTTTAGTCTCGTCTGCTACTTGAGAGTGGAGATTTGGCTTCCGTTAGATTAGATTTGGACCTCATACAAAGGCAGTTGAAATCAATTCAGAGTTTTTTTCATATTCAATGAAATAAGCCCATTTCAGGAGTGTACTTATTTGAACCCATAAATAAGAAGTTCCTTTTGTGATATTTCTGGGATTACCTTTCTCTCTTAAAGAGTCTGAATAGGGAGCATTTTCATGGTGCAGCACAATTCCCATCTCACCTCACGGTGTCCCTACAAATGGCCGCAGACGCTATTTCTATTTTAYCTTTGCATTCAAACTGGAAATATTTCAGTGACTTTCCAAATGTTCTCAGCTCTTTGCTGGCAAAAACCACTTGCAGGCCACAGTGATGAAACGCACATGTTATGGCTGAGCCTGGCTGGTTTAATGGATATGTTTGTCATTTTCCTTTCCTCCCCCAGCTTTACATTCAGGCCAGGCGCCCTGAGAATCTGACCTTATCCATTGCCAGCGCGACGCACCACGCGCAGCCGTCGCGGCTGCACGGCGTGACCCGCGGAGCGCCCTACCAGCAGTACCAGCCGGTCGTCAGGCTCGAGCACCCTTATATCATCCAGTGGGACGGCAGAGCGCCTGAGGATGTCATCCTGTACCCCATCAACTTCAACAGGTACCGCCCTAGCTTATTAAAAAACATTCCGGTTTCAGCAGGGCTGGAGCTCTCATGGTTTTGCACCTTCTCCATGACCAACCTCTTAATTTTTGTGAGCGTTGAAGTGAGGTGTTAATGGCTGGTACTTCCCCGTGCAAAGAGATGCCTCKGCTTTCGCCTCATTCCAGGGGGTTTGATGTGCAGAGATGTTTCTCTTTCCAGTAAGTTTTGAAACAGAATCCAAGTCGGTCCTGGCCTAATGTGCCTGAAGTCACTCCAGAGGAGCTCTGGCTCCAGTTCATCTGCTTGTACTACTTGCTGCACACGTAATTTATCTCCCATATATAAAGTGCAGAAATACATCAGAATGTGCACAGAACTTTGCATTTTCTGTAATCCAAACAGCACTGCAACCAYTGTTTCTTTCTGACATGAATTTTAGAACATTGCAAAGTAGTACAGCAGAAGTGTAGGCTGTATTGCTTTTATTTTCCATGTTTCCTTCCATCTCATCTTGTGTTACATAGAAGCATGACAGACCCATTTTAGACCTACTTTTTCCCCTTGCAAGTTGTTTCACTTTGCATAATTTCATTTACAGCTTTCGGCACTGACTCAGGACCAAATTATTTCTTCTTTTAGTGAAATTGCTTGTTCTTTGCACTGGTTTAACTATTAGGAGAGTCCTGCAGTGTCTTCAGTTTATTGGTGGCAAACCTTGTCATGCTTTACACAGATACACTGCAAAGGATGAACAGCACCAAACACCAAGGCAGGGGCACTGCAGTGGTTTTTGATTAATAGGTTAGCTATAGGTAACTGTAGAGCCATGACCGAGTTACTGGGGGATCAGTATTYGAACAGTCCTGTCAGAGAGGAATTATGAGAAATAAATGACTGTTTTCTCTGTTAGTATAACTGATTGCACTTTAAGGAAGAGGAAAACTCATTAGTCACTCATGGACAAACTGAGCTTTGCAATTATTATCTGTCATAAAATAATTAGCTATTTCCTTGCGATTCCAGAGCAATTCCAAATTCAATTCTGTCACCGTTACATGGTGGTTGCGCTATCATTGGGTCTATTAATAGTTGTGGAAGCTTTGGCCCACTATCTTCAAGGACGGATTCAAATTTTAAGGCAGTAGTGGGTCTTTGTTAAAACTCAACTTGATGTTTACCCCTTGTTCAAGCAGCAACATCAATTGTGATAAACACATTTCACTCTTGCAAACCACAATGTGGTTGTGGTTCTCTTTGTTGCTTGTGAGACCAATTAAGTTATTTGAATAGGGCAAAGATTTGTAGACTTTTCTGACCCAGAAGTTGGCAAGGTGTCTGTTTTGTAGAACTATAAATAAGAAACATGCTGTAGTGGGAGAAAAATGCAGTTTTGCTTCATTTCATTCAAAAGCATCATGCTAATAAAAAATTGAGAATGAAGCTTGTAGCAGCTCCCTAATGTTGAGCGCACTGGACACTAACAACAGCGAGACTTAAGGTGATGTAATGGCAATGGTGAAATGCCCAGAAAAGCGCATGCAGCCGTGGACAACTGTGAGTCTCATAGAAGGGCATAGCAGTTGAGATGAGAACAGGGTTTAGGAGTATGAAGAAAAACAAGTTCCAGCTTAAGCAGTTCTATATATGACCTTTATTAAATAYTGTGTTCCAACTGCTTTTGGAATGGAAGAAATTCCAAATTGTGGAGCCCAAAGCAGCCAGAGTTAGAAAATGAAGGAAGATTTTTACCTGTCCCAAGTGGCCTTGTGCTTGGTTTGCTCCTTTCTATTCCAAAATACTGCATAATCTGCCAAAAAAATAAGCTTTTAACATAGCAACATCTGTGCAAAACATACATGTTGCAAACCAAAATAGTTTGATGAGCTTGAATAACAGTATTCTAGGATTAATAATTTCAGACATAGCTTTATTGAACTATTAAACTATTTTTAATTCATTGTAAACCAATGGCTAGCTATATGCAGAACATTGCTTTCTCAGCAAGACAGCCCTCCTGTTTCTGGACTGAATGCTCTGCACTGGCTAAAAGAAGGTCAGAGGGGAAATAAGGAATGTGACAGGGAGATGTGTACCAGGATTTGGATTTCGTTGGAGATCAGACATCATATTGACTATGAATATTTGTGTAGTTAACACTTTCACTGCCTCTAAAGTCCTGTTAAAAGACCCAATGGAGGTAATTCCAGTTTCTGTTTAACAGACTGAAACATCCGGATTCCTCAGGTAGGCAGAGCCCTGTTGGGATGATTTTACATGATTCATCTGGATTTGGCAGCGCTGCTGATTTGAGCCGATTGGAAAGGGGACACTCCAAAAACAACACACCTTCCTTATGCAGTTTCTTCCATCAAAATATATAATTAAATCAAGTAAAAACTCTATCTCCACTTGCTGTTAGCTGCAACTATGCAGTGCAAACTCATGTGAACAAGTCATCTGATGCAATCCAGCCTCCCATCCAAGCAGAGAGATAGTTGCTTGCGGTTATCTTGGTAGTTGTGCCACTAGCTGACGGAGGGAAATAGTTGAAGCCCTGACTGAGACCTGCAGGGTGTTTTTCCAGGCTAGTGAGCCTAGAATAACTGCCTTTCCTTACCTATGGGTTCCTTACCCTACCATTGTCTGTCTAATGGCTGGGTGTTTCATTGTGAGGATGAGAAGAAGGATGCTACTGATGCTCTTGAAAGAGTTAATGCAGGACAAGCGTCTTCTGAATGTTTGGCAAGGGAACAAAAGGCGAGTGCTGGCTGGAATTTTAATTACCAGGAGTAAAGTGTGCTCCAGAACCAATCCAAACCTTCTGAAGTTTGTTCTCTGTGGGCGAAAGCTTTATGAAGCGGGGCCCCGGACCTCTCCATGGTGGCCTTCGTCTCTTTGTTGGAGCAGTTTCTGTCCCCTCCGGGCTATTTTCTGTGTTTTCTTGGATTCTGTGCTTTGCGGAAGAATGGGGATTATCTTTAAAACCAAGTTAAGAGCTTTAATTAAAATTACTATCCCCTTCCTGAAGCACAGGGCACAGAGAAAGTGTCAGGTTTGATATGAGAGGGGGCTGCTAAGACAGGAGGAGAGTATGGAAAATATTATTTGATTGCAAGGAAGCCACTTATTTTGTGCGTTGAAAATGGTGCAAAGATCATCACTTTATACAGTAAGCAAAGACAGAAAATAAATTCTTCAGTTTAATGACCTAGGCTTTGTGTGTGTGCAAGTTTTCTAATTGCAGAAGCAGCTAAGGCAAATACTGTTATCAAAGACACAGGGTAGTTCAGCAAATCAGTCCAGGTTATTTGTGTTATCAGACGATCTAAAGATAAGAATGAAATCTCTTCAAAGCCCATATCTCGAGTATTGTGTAATAAAATGTGTTGTGAAAGTGGTCTGAAAAGCAGTGGCTATTAGGTTATTTTTTCCATGTGTTTTATGAGCACTGAGAAATATCTGTATGCCTGGTCTATTAAGGCTCCAAGGGAGGCATTTTCCCTTTTTAGGGCTCTCTGCTGTGGGTCAAATAATATCTTACATAATCACAAGTATCTGAGGATTCAAGAGCCTGAAATGAGCTCGTGTCTAGAGTGGGAGACAGCGGGGCCTTCAGGCACGGGGTGAAATGGAGCCCCCAGGATGTTGTCACCCACTTTCCTCCCGAGTGAAGCTCTGGGTGCAGGCAGCTGGCCTAGGGCCCCTGCGTCCCCACTGCAGCGCCACGGGACTGGCTGTATTTGTCCTTCTCRGGGCTGTGAGGTGGGCGTTATTCCTCTGGTTTTTCTTCAATGCTGGTATGATTCATACGTTCATCTACTTGTCATTTTTGTGATTAAATTCTTTAGCAGTGATAAGGTGTGGAGGGAAAACAAAGATAATGAGATGAGGCTAGAATGTGCTTGTTGCAGACTCACCCAGCTAACCATGTTTCCTAAATGRTTTCTTTTTCCTGTTCGTTACTGCCTGAGCTTTTGCCTTTGCTTCCCAGATCGATAAATGCACAGGAAGATGAAATTATTCTTTTGAAGTGGAGAGGACAGTTTAAGCCTGGGACTGCTTTCTTGTTGTTTGTATGTACAGGAGTTCTGATCTAGGTCCTGGGTGTAAAACTGGGTGTAACATCAGTAAGACCAAAGCTATTCCCATGATAATAAGCAAGGTCTATTTGGGTCTCACAATTTGCCCCCACCAATAGCATCTCTATTTCAATATTAATCATTCAACTACCTCAGAAATGGGCAGATAAATTTGCACTCCATTCTGCCTTTTTCTAATATCCTTTGAACCACAGGTATTAGTGGATAGAAGAGATTAGGAGGGGAAAAAAAAAAGGAAACTATGCTAAAACATTTGCCAGAACACTACCTCACGGTTTGCACTGTTTTGTTGCAGCTGGGCCAAAAGAGGGACTGGCATTTCTGTGTCTGAGCAAGCCTAAAATTCCTGCCTTTGTCTCCTGGGATCCGCAGTCCTCACTGCTCTCTGCCTACTGTGGCCTACGCTCACAGCTGGCAGGGACACGACTAACAAGGTGACCCTGAGGAGGGACGTCCACGTGGAGCAGATGGTTTCACAGAATGAATTAGAGCAATCCAAGCATCAAACAGGTCCAGGTATCTGAGGCAACCCCTTCAAAGCCCATGAAACATGCAGGTTTTTCTTTGGTTTCCCCGTTCTCGTGACCCAGGGACCAGGGCTCTGGGCTTCTCCAGGCCACCAGCCTCCCCTGACCCTGCACAGAGCTCTGGGGCACGTCAACAGGAAAGCACATGTGATAACCAGCAAGGTAGTGCTTGGGAACTCGTTAAGAGGAAGGACAAATAGAGCTGTTGTGCCATTCCTGCAAGAAAGCATGTAGGGTGGGAAAGAACATCAAGGATGATAAGAAGATGTGCTGTGTTTAAATATAGGAAGTTCTTTTTTTTGCTTGAATTCAGCTGTCTCTGAGCCAAGTGCTGCCTGACCGAGAGCTTGGTTTCATGAGGAACAGTAGAAGCCTWCCTTGGGGCAGCATCTGTTATATAATTTGTGGAACTTTGGAAAGCAAAAATTGTCTCTTTTGCCTAAGGAGGCACATGAATAAAAGCAAACATTTCAATTTATATTTAAAAATAGGCTTTTTTTTTTTTTTTTCCATTTGATGTATCCTAAATGGTAACTTTTAGGAAAGGCATTTAAATCTCAATACACACAATTCTCATTAAGGAAAGAGATACCTAACTTGTTAGCTGCCCCATAGCAAGCTGTCTTCCAGAAGTATCTAGCCTGAATAACAAAGTCCTGGAAAAAAAAAATGTYGGATGTTTGCCCAGGAGTTGTATTTGTCATCATGGGGGATGTGTTTAATGGGGTTGACTTGAAGGCAGAACCTTAAAAAGCAATGGAGAAGAAGAGGAGGAGTGAGTGACAGAGCCAGAAAGCTGGTGGGAAATGAGAATTTGATGAACAGAGCTTGGACTGGGAGAGGGCACAAGGGTGTGATCCCGGTCTTTGAAGCCACCGCGGCTGTCTCAGCTGCTGTCTCAGCAGCAGAGAGAAATGTGGGTGTTTCCTGCTCTGTGTTCCCCAGGTTGGGCTGACGTGCTGGTTTGGATGGAGGTGRCTTCTTGAACGTGAATTTTGTGCCAGAGGAGGTTCTGCCTGATGCAGTGCAAGTTCTCATGAGGTCGAGAGATTTTGTAGGAGATAAAAATCAGAGTTGTGAACTTGTGAGCACGGAGTAGTGACTGCTTGTAAATGGTTCTTGGCAGGAGCTGGAGGCTGAATGGTGGCCTTGGCATTTTTTCCTTTTTGAAGTGCAGAACTTGGTCTGTGAGAGACAAATGTACAGAAGCTACACATGAGGTCTTAAGCTTCCTTCCCATTTTATGAAAGGGAAAGTTTCAAATTCTCAGTTTTTCTTATTCGGCTCACATAGGTCTGACCAAAATGTCAGAGGAATTGTTTTTAAATAGTAGTAATAACAGTTGGGGGAAGCTGACTCACTGGATGAGAGTCTCTTGTTTTTTCAAGTCCAAGGAAAAAGTAAGTAATTTCTCAGTTGCACGCTGCTTTCCCTCACTGGCTTACCCCAAATTTTCATCAGTGAGATCAAGACTTGGACTCTTAACTTCCATGGTYGTCAGCTACGTGACACACCATGTCAACAAACGCGGTGGGAGTTGTTTTCTAGAATAATATTCCTCAGCTTTAGAAGTTCCCTTGGCTAAAACACAGCTCAGATGTTGTCCTGTATAACCAGCAATCCCAGCACCAGATCATGCCCTTTTTGCCAAGGCTGATGCTCCATCCTAGACAGTCAAGCAGGACACATTAACAATGTGTAACTACTGTTGGTTGGTTCTCTCCTTGGAGTGACCRGACATATTCTCTTGCTGTATTTGCTCTAGCCAGATCCCACCTCCAAGTTGCATGACTCACTTTGGCCTCACCTCTCACAGGAGGCTCCCTTTCTCCTTTGCCTTCATCACCTTTCTYTGAATATCTTGCTTTCCAGAGCTTGGGGTTTAGCCATAGGGGTTGTTTTAAGACATATAAATGAGGTAGATACATGTCTGCACATACACACCTATATATCACAACAGGAAACCTCTTGCCTGCTTTTTTTCTCTTTCCCTCTTCCTTTATTTTGTTTTCAGTTATCCCGGGAAGACTGTTCATTGGCCAAACACAAGGGCACTTTCTTAACATTTTGCTTGGTATTTTTGCTTCACTCGAAGGAGCCAGAGCTGCAAATGTCAATATCCCGGTGAAAAAAGAATTGCTTCTTGGGTTAGTTTCATCCATCCATCTCCAAAAAGGGAAAATGCAAGCTAAATACATTCATTAGAATACATGAAATGCACTGTATGGATTGCTGAATGACAATAAAGAGGGCAAGAGTGTCAAATCTGGTACAGGCTGGTTTCAGCAGACCCTTAAACATTTTCAGACTTKTACAACTCACTAAACAGTGACTTTGTGCTAGCACATGTTTAATTTTACTTTTCCAAATACCACTTTTTTGGTAGGAACACGTAGGAAAATGCTGGCCTTATTAAAAGCAAATAGGAAAAAAAAKGAAAGAAAACTATTCCTTTTGTTTAAAACAAGCTGAACTTTATCACTAGAGAAAGAAAAATGTGAAGAYGGTTATTTAGTTTTGTGATGAAAAATATCTTAGAAGCTCAGAAGTTTTCTATACATGCTAATATGACTGTAACTTAAGGTGACAGCTGTTTCAAAAGTGGGATGTTCTAGCTGAGAGTATTTTTGGTATTTTTTTTGCAGCTCCCAAGAATGAAAGAAATAAGACTCCTGCTCATCGCTATATTTGACAGCACTTTGTTGCTTTATGTGACTCCTACCCGTTGTGTTTTAATGATTTTTTTGCTTTTTATGTGCAAGTCTTTGAGCATAAGATCAAGCTACAGATGCTCCCAGGGGACTCAGACAAGGGTCTGAAATTACTCCAAATTCATAGTTTGGGATGTGTTGTTATGATTTCAGTGTTTTCTCTTACTGAAAACTCAAAAAGCGGGTGACARCACGAGCCTTATCAACTGCTAGTGCAATTTGTGTTCCTGTGTCCCCTGGTCACCAGCCTGGAGGTCCTCGGTGGCCAGTGCTGTGGTTGAGGAAGGCGCGTGTGCATCTGTGTCCCTTTGAAGGCAATGTTCAAACCCTCCGTGCCTGATTACAGCTCATGGCCTGGGGTTGCATTTCTCCTTCGGTCCTGGCAGTGGCTGGAAGAAAGGCCTCGAAGCCCTGTCTGGCTGCCAGATGCCAGGCAGGGTCCTGCAGGCCATCTCTAACCTTGCTTTCTTTTCCTAGCTATAGTGGAACCCAGTTCAGCAGCACTGCCAGGTATAGTTATAGGGGAGAGACTTTACAGTAGCTTCTCTATAAGCTGAAAAATATCAAGTAAAGAGCTAAATAGGAAGCTGTTTAATACAGTAAGTCAGAGAGAAAACAAACACCTTTTCTCTATGTAAAGGCTAAATTCTAACACCAAACCCTCTGCTGGGGGATGTACTTACTCCATCTCATCCTCCACTAGCTCTAAAATAGGTGCTTTTCATTTGATCTTCTCTATCTTGATATAAAGTGTTTCAGTATTTCAGTCTGCTCATGGGCACAACAGGCTCTAGCAATCACATTCCCAAACACCGGGAGACTCAGGACAGTCACAGCTGTGTTTTTTTCATTTTTTTCATACTTGTTTTTTCCCTTCAGCCTCCAATTTCCTTTTCTGGTGCCTTTCTTGACCCCTGGGAAGGTGACAGTCAGTGTAGCACTGCACTGAATCTCTTTCCCAGCGTTGGAGGGAGGTGACGAGGTCTTTTTGTGACAGCGTCTTCAGGGGATGAAATTTGCTAACTTGATGCAAATCACCCTTATGAAACAGCTGAGTGTCCTGGGCCTCTGTCCTAAAAATATTCTACATGCATGGCTCTGGTGCRTTTCTTTAATTTCCTCTAGTCAGAGGCCAAATCATCTGAAAATATATCCATTTCTAGTTGTCCTGTGTTACGGCACAGCTGGGGTTRCTTAAAATCTAGAGGGCAGCATTTGGCTTAAGCCAGTAGGTCTTAGTATGTCTTTGATTTATTATTCTAGAACAGCCTATCCCCTCTTCCGTCCTGTGGATATTGTTTTCTTTAGTTTTAATGGGAAAAAAAAACAGAAGAAGAGTGACAGAGCTTTGCTCTTGCGCTGTTCATGTTGAATGCAAAGTAGAGGTCTAGGCATGTGGACCCCCRGTGTCTCCAAATCAAAAGGGTTTCCCCGCATTTACTACTCCCTACGGATGCCAAGTGATTTCAATGGAGCCTTTGGAGAAACCTTGCATTGCACAGCCTTGTGTAGGACCCTTCAAAACGGGAGACGAAGGTTTTGTTCGTCTATCTACGGCACTGCGATGGTGCTGTAGGGAAGGCTCGCCTGCTGTGGCACCTCATACGGGAAGGACAGGGAGTTGGGAGCCATCAGTGCCGGAATTGTGTTTTCCCAGCTCCATAGCTCTGCTCCTGGTACCGTAGGTTGATAGTCTGGGGCCAGTTCCCCTCTTGGCAAGGCTGGCAATGCCAAGCAGAGGGCAAAGGAAAGCTATMGGGGCAGATGTCTGGCTGAGGTAAATGTGCAGGATGAAATTCTAGTCGAGGAGAGTTAAATGCGCATTTCCTTTTGGCCTCAGTTATTCTACAACTTGGAATGTTGAAGAGAGAGCGGGGGAGAGCGGCAGTTTTAATGGGAACCATAACGATGCACATTGCTGCAAAGCGGAGGAAGCAGGTCTCTCTAAAGCATGGCGCTGGTTCAAGTCGGAGATGACTTCGTAATTCCTGAATCTCTGCCCCCAGGAAACGTCTGCTGGACGCCGGTTCCCTCTCCTGCTGTGGCTCAGGATGCAGTGAAGCCAGCCCAGGAGTGCTGGGGAGATGGGCCTGGTCATAGCTCAGCCTTAGGGGCTGGGGAGAGAAAGTCTCCGGTTTGAAAGCAGCCCTGGCACCTGGCTCGGAGTCCTCCGAGGTCAGCTGGGGTCTCTGGATCACGTCTCGTAATAAGGAGCCGTTGTTGTTTCCAGACAAAGAAAATAAAACTCTGCTTTTCTTCGACTTTGTGGATTTTGTTTTTTCTGTTTTCAAGGAGGAGGAGAACCTCAAGGGGCATTTCTTTGTTTTTTCCCCCTGAAGATTAAGCTCTTGGCTGAAGCCCATCTCTCCTGTTTGCAGGCCCTGAAGTATTTTTCCTCCCTTTCCCTTTTGTGCCCACAGAGGAGACTGGCTGCTCGTTGCCCTCTGCTATCCCCGGGAGGCCGTTTTCCACGTGGTGGCAGATGTCTACCAGCGACGCACGGGGACGGTGCACAGCGTGACGCACTACGAGGCTGTTGCCACCCGCGACCATGTTCTTGGAAGCACCAGTGAGAGGCTCTTCTTCTTCGACCAGGCATCGGGGTGAGTGGAGCCACGTGGCCAAAGCTGAGGAACCTCCTTGGATACCCCGGCACCTCCTCAACCTCTCTCTCCCTGTTAAAATACTGTGTGACCATCTCATCTGCTCATTTTGCAGGATTTCAGCCCAAAATGCAGACAGGAGCCTCTGATCGAGGTCTGCCTCTGCGCCACTGAGCAGAGCCTTGCGTTCTGTTAAGAAAATGGCTTATTTTGTGCGCAGTCCTATGTGCTTGGTGGTATCCCGGCTGCTGGTGGTCATATTGCTGGGTCTGGTGTAAATACTTAGTTAAATCTRTTCATCCCAAAGGACCCTGACAGGGAGTCCTCTGGTGACTCCAACCAAGAGAGTTTGGAAAATTGCAGCTGCTTTGTGCTGATGCGAGACTTTTAAAATTAGCACTGGCAAAAAATAGTTTGTTTTGTTAAAAGAAAGGAGAGCATCTCAGTGCATCCCTCTTTTGAAGCGATAAAATGAGTGCTAGAGAACATGCACCGGTTGCTTGTCAAGTCCTACTCAAAGAAGTCCTTTAAGGTAGAACAGAGGCGCTTCTGTGCCCCAATTCCATGTGTGGGTCTCCGGCAGGTGCCACCTGGCCCTCGATGCTCCGATGGGATGTGGCTGCCTTGAGCAAGTCCAAAACTTCCYCTAGGCCAGTACTTACCAACTACTTATCTCCCTGTCTTTGAGGCTTGTTGTTTGGAACTCTAGATGCCAAAAACTCAGCAGTACCAAAAATGAGTAATATTAATACTACCCTTGAAGGAATCTAGAACACCTTTGGTTATAAAAACATATTACGAAACTGTTTCTCAGTCAGCTAAAATAGTTGGGGAGGAAAAGGCTGTTTTTGTGGTCTAACCATGGGTCCCATGATGCTTTACCTAACTAAACAGCTCGTTTGGAAATCAATCCACAAATGCCAGAATTTAAAATAAGATGGGGTATTTATTCATTCAGTCATTACATGTGAGCAGTTAGGTCCTGGAAAGCCTTCCTTGCTAGTCAGGCCTTGCAGATAGGCAAGTCTCCCCTCCCATGATAGGAAYTGTGAAACAGCAATTTACTAGTTAATCTTCCTCTTTCTTTTTCTTGGACCTAAAATGTCACCCAAGTTCTGTAAATGGGTTGTTTACTAGTGAAGAGTGGGGTAAACAGTTCCATGTGTGGGTCTGTGGGGCAGAGCCACGGGCTGCCAGCAGCCATCTGGACCTGGTATGTGCAGGCCGATAGGCCTAACCTAACTGCATTCTGGCAGTATCAGCCTTTGGGTTCTTTGTTTAATTCAGTGTTGCTTTTTTTAGCTTTCCAGAGGATAGGAGTTAGGGGTTTGGCGTTTTTTCTTTTCCTGTTGTTTTTTAGACGTGATTTCATAATAAGTGGGATGTTTCCCCCCTTCTTTTTTTAACCCCACGTGCTGGGTCCTTGGCRAGCAACCAGGCTTACTCATTCTTGCTTCCAGAAAATAGAAATAAATATTTATTTTCAAAAGGAAAAGAAAGGAAAAATGCTTTTAAAGCTCAGGCATCTTTTTGATCCCAAAGCCGAGCTGAGCTGTTTATATAATTTCCTCGGCCTGAACTGCAAACTGAACGCGACTGAAAACAGCTTAGAACAGCTCGGAAAAAAAGAGCTCAGAGGGATGGAGGATCTATCTGCTTGGTGTGCGAGYGAGGGCTGGGCAAGGGGAAGGTTAATGCAATTGAGCAAGTGCAGACCCTGCCCCGGTCAAGCTTTCCTCTGAACACAGGGCGGCTCTGACCCCTTCGTTTGCTCTCCCTGGCAGGTACCTGTTTGTTCACCTGCAAGCCCAYGGGGCGCGGGAAGGACACAGCTACTGCTCGGAGCGAGGCTGCGAGCGCATTAAGATCATGGCAGAGATGTCCAGAGCGGGACCCTGGAGCTGTGGCCCCAACCCCTTCCCGGAGTCGAGCGTCCGACTGGCACCTCCCCGGCACCCCGTCGTGTCCCGGCGCCGGGCCGGGCCGTGCAGGGCGTGCGGGGCTCCTCAGGTACCTCYTGGCAGCTTGTGAGAAGCACCTGGGTGGGCAGTGGTTGTTGTATCTGCACAGAGTCCGTTCATCTCCGTAGTGTCCAAGCGCTCGTAGTCTTCACAAGTGGGAATTCCGACTTGCTTGCGAGCCTGGTCAGCATCGTGTAACATAGATGGAAGGATGTTGAGGGGGTAAATCCTGCATTGTGGCTTCGGAATCATACAGATTTTATAGACAGGCAAAATAGCTCAAGTTCAGATTTGACTTTTTAGCTTATTTTGTGAGGGAGTGGACTGCATGACCTCCAGAGGTCCTTGCTGACCAATATTGCCATGACTCTTTGATAAAAGCTGTTTCACTAAGGAGCACTTATATGTGAACAAGAACTACAATCTGAAAGAGTGAATTCTTCAAGTTTTGCAATCATAGATATGAGTGTTAGTACTTGATGTCATTTTGCTGATGAAATCTGGCTAGCCAGCCAGTTTTTAAGTTTCTGTCTTTCACATAATTGCAGCTCGCTATAACTAGCAAGCCCTCGATCAAGTATGTAAGAACACAGATCCAGTCCCTCAGCACAGCTGATATACAAAACCACTTGACGTCCACGTTCATTAAGGTACATGTTTTACCACATTTGACATGGTGATTAAACAGGGAAAACTTTATCTCCAATGAAAGTTTTTGCAAAATCTGCTGAGCCTTGATGGGAGGAAATGGGATGTTCCACTGGAAGATCCAGCTGTATTGTTCTCCTCTGTAATTAGCTCCATTAAAGCAGCCCGGGAGCTCCTATTCTATTCAGATGAGGATTTGAGCCTTTCAGAGGGGAGAAAAAAGGCTTTTATCACCTCAAAAGAAGAATTAACGCCAACCCTCTAATATAGAGGAATGAGGAGAAAAAAGCTCACCAAAAGTYACTGTTTGCAAAGGAGCTAGGGGACAAAAACAAGTTTGTTTTTCTGATTCTCTTTGTGGGTGCTGCACTAAAAAACAAAACAAAACCCTATATTTTCACTACTGAAAGAGTTTGGAGTTGTCAGATTGTCTCTGCACATCCCTTACCTGTCTGTATGGATGGAGAAGGGCAGCTATGAAGCTCTATGTCCACTAGGTTAATGCTACCGAACAGCAGTCAYTGCTACGAGATGCCAAGCAAAGCTAGTACAGCGTCCTTAGGGAACTGGAGCAGCCAAGAGTTCTTGCCATGTGAACTGGCTGCATTGTCAAAACTTAATTCAAAACCATTAGCAAGGGGGAGTTATTTGAGGAGGCATCCTGCTACCTGCAAAGCCTGCGTGCACCTGGCGCTCACAGGCGCTTTGCTTGTGGCGGAGCCTGCTCATCAAGTTGGCAAACCAGGATCTCCACAAAGCCTCTTTGCATTTTCCAAAGCTTCAGTTCAARCCACTGTTTTCCAAAGGAAGTTTTATTTTAGACTTTTATTTCAGACGCATGTGCTCTTAGCTGAGTCAAAGGCTGGGCTAGGAAAACAATGACGAGCAGTGTTTGAAAGAGGATTCGTCTGCTCAGCCTAGAAAGGTTGGGGACGTATAGAAAGAGCGGGATGAGGGAGGGAAGTCCCGCACTACTGGTTTCTGGTTCGTGTTTTGCCAGATGAAACTCAGATCTCAAAAAATATTTTAAGTGTATAATCCAAGCTTCCACAAGGCTTGAATTAATTTTCTTTTTGAGGAGGGGCAGCCCCATTTTCCCTGACCCTGCCCTCAGCTACGTGTCCCCACCTTATCCCATGTGTTGGCACAAGGACTCACGTAGCTGCGGAGTGATGGGGAGCACCCCCAGGAGGCTGAAGCACCTCGTGGTGCCCTGATCCTTCTCCTGGTGCAGGACCCAAGCCTTGGGCTGGTGTGAGGAGGTGTTGGGAGCATGCAGTGAACAGGCAGACCTGCAGCAGGCTGTTTTCTTGCCACCTGCCTGTGTTCAGGCCACTGATCTGAGCCCCGTCTACATCTAGAATTCAACATGTTGCAGCTTGCTTGCCCAAGGGGCTCGGGACAAACAGCACCACGGTGAAGGACTTAGTCCATCTGTGTGTCCTTGTCCTAACTCCCTGCCACCCACCCATGACCCAGACACTTATGTTTCCCTTACCCTTGACCTTCTATTGCACTCACCATCCTGTTCAGCCTCCCTCATCTTGCMGGAGCCTCTTTTTAACAGTTCTCTTTCCTGTTCACTCTGTGTGTTCCCTGGAGTCATTCTCATGTCTCACAGGGGGATGCATTTGAGCTCCTGGATATTTGAAGACTTTGGAGACTACATGGAGTATGTGGTGTGTGGCCTGGACTGAGGTGTCTCCCTGCCGTGGCTGGGCTTGGAGGAGGTTGTGCAGTGTCTGTCTCTGCAGCTCTGCTGGGCTCTAGGGATGTCCTGGGGATGCAACAGGGCCAGGAACCTCAGGGAGCCTCTGCTCACTAACCATGAAGATCATGGGGCAYCATGAGAGATGAAATCTGAGCAAGAGCCCTTGCTATAAAAAGGTGGCAAGTATGAGCCGCTTGTGCTAGATCTTCCTCGAGGCACTGGGAGAGTACTACAAAGAATAAATATTTTGTTTTTTAAACTTTTTGATAGTTATGCTGCCAGGGAATAGAAATGTCTTTTTTGTTGCTTCTATTCCCCCTCCACTGTCCCASCACATTTCCTTTGCTACTTGGTCAAGTTGCTTTTTGCTGAGCGGCAGAAAACCCACATGAAAAGAATCTGTATTAAGACTAAACTAAGCATTTTTCTCCTGGGATTCTCAGCTTCTCAACTTTATCTTCCTAACGCACAAAAAATGTAGATGACCTTATTCCGCACRTGTTTATCCCCCTTTTGGCTTACCAAAGTCAGTGAGAAATAAGATTTTGCCTGTCTCCTGTGACTCACCAGTTGTAAGTGATTTCACTTCATCTGTACTGATTACACATTAAAATTATGGGTTGTAAAGGCTTGGTATTGTACTTGCTTGTAACTTCCATCTTATGAATAAGTTCCTCTGTCATTGACTGTCTGCCTCCTTAGAACTTACCTCTGTTTTTGTTGCAGATAAATGATAAAATCTTCCTGTTCAGTAGCCATGGGATATTCTTCGTGGTGCTAGATGCATGTTCTGGAGCAGTCGTGAGTAGGCGGCACTTTGACACAGTTAGTGGTGAAAATGCTGCCAATGCAATAAGTGACTATGTTCAAACATTTATAAAAGAGAGGTAAGCAAAGTGTTGAAAGCCCCATTCATGTAGCAACATGTGGGTGACAGACAAAGAAAAGAAAAATCCCTACTTTCATACCTGAATCTGTGCTCTGGAAAAATCTGGCAAATATGAAATATATTCAAACACCAAAACTGGATGAGATAGAAGAGAAGCACTGTTTCTTTAACACGCCTTCCCAGATTGGAGCAGACAGAGGCAGATTTTCCATAAAAATGGCAATTCCTTCTAAATTAACAATTTTCCAGTATGGTGTAGGTAAGGTCCTTGCAGTAGCATTTGCAATTCTGTGCACTTACCCTGATGGCCAGCGATTTCCTAGTGGCTGATGATGCGTTTTTCCATTTCAGAAAYAAGCTGGCTTCTGTTTATTCTTGCTGATTGTTTTTGCATCTTTCAGCAGATGAAAAAATCTCAGGCGCCGACTTTGCCAGTACGATTTTCCCGGGCCAGCCACGAATAGGCCTGCCTGCCTGCCGGCTCTGTTGCTTTGAATGTGCGCTGGCAAAGGTCTGGATCATCTCTGTTTGTGTCTGTTCCACATTCCTTGTGGTTTTATGTGTCGCCACATAAACACGGAACAACAGAGATTTATAGATAAATTCTTGGCTGCTGACAGAAGCAGGTCAAATAACCAGAACACAGACTTCCAGTCCAAGACATTTCTGAGCAGTTCATGACCAGTGATCTGAGTGCTCCAGAGTTGTTATATCTTCATTTGTGCACRTGTGTATGTCTCTGTATGTAAAGTGCATAAAGTGACAGCTATCCCTGTCGTGACTGTACTTTTGGCTTGATTTTCTCCTATTTTGCAAGTTTGGGCATTTAACTGAATGCAGTCAGTTGTGCCTGTAATTCTTGACAGGTACAATTCACTGAGGGCTTAAAGCCCAGCTGTGAGGACCCTGCTCAGACTGAGCGTGATTCAGATTTAATTCAGGAGCATACTTAAAACAAGTTTAAAGTTCCAAGAGCTTATGTGTGCTTGAAAGCAATGGAGTTTAAGCATGTTCTTGAAATTGAGCAGGTTCTTCAGGGTTTTTCTAAATTGGCACTTAAAAGTCTTGCAGATGATTAACAAAAGTCATGTTTTGTGATCATGCAGTAATTCCTGCCCTTCTTTTCAGATCAGTTGTTCTTGTGGGCTCTAGAGGCATCACAGAAGTGCCAGGGAATTCTACAATGTCTGTCTTCACCAGGTTAGGTTCTGCAAAGCCTATTACCTTCCATAAAAAAGGTAAATGTATTAATTCAGCCATGTTTCTTTTTGCCTCCAAATTACTGATGTTTCCCTTGCCAAAATGTACAGATAAATTCCATGGTGTTTATCAGTATACCTGCTATTATAAACTATGCCAATGTAGTCTACTAAAAACTTCTTGCCTTGGGGATGGTCAGAAGCAGAAGAGTTATCTTAAGTTTTTGACCCTAGCTCTGCAATAAGAAGCTTAATGCTACAGATTTTTCATCCTAAAAAGAGCCCATTTTTCCAATTAAAAATAAATAATTTGATAAACATTTGATAAAGACTCCAACTCTAAAATTTAAATGCTTTACATGGGAAAACAACTGTAAATGAAAAGGGTTGATGAAAAAGAAAATAGCCTGAAGTGAAATAGGAAACTTTTTTTTTTTTTAATGGAAGGAAAATGAAATCACTAGTTTGCGAAAGTTCTTACCATATATTTACCTTGRATTGCCGTAACTTCTTGTGGAAGCTCGGGGTGCAGGTAGCTGCTGTCAATACATTGCCCTTACCACACTGGGTTTCCTACTGGAAGCCGTGTGGCTGCTGAAGTCCAGGTTTAGAGAATTAACTCACGCAGTTGGTAAGGAAAACAGGACAGCAATCAGCCAGATTGGTCAGRATTCATTTGTTATTTCCGAAGCAGAGATCAGATACAGAATTGGCAGCATTTTGAGCTCCTTTTTATGTTTTTTTTCTTTTTTTTTGTTTCTATTTTACTAAATTTTTGGCCCAAGGTCTGAGGCACATTCCTATTACTGTCCCTGGCAGAGGAGAGCAGAAGCTTTACAGCCAAGACAGTGATTTCCCTTTGGTGCCCACTGTGTTTCCGAGTAGCTGATTTTTCTCTCAACATTTTAAAAGGAAAAATTTGAGGTTTTCTTTTTCCCTTTTTTGTCTTAAAACTTCAATGCGTCATTCTTTCATGAAAGCCCTGAATACTTCTGGAATTTTTTGATTAAAAAGTAATCTTGTTTTGTTTGTTTTGCCAAACTTTTTTTTCCCGCTGAACCACCTGTGCTGCTCGATTGGCACTGCACTTAGGGGATCTTTTATGAGCTTGATTCTGCCTCCAGCCTCAACCAGAGCATTAAAAGGAGCAGCCAAAGCACCCAGTGCAAGGGACAAAGCAAGGAGGTGCCAATGGCCTTCGCCTTGCTCAGGGTGTTGTGAGAGGAAGCTGTGCTGGACTAATCCACTGTGTTGCTCCTGTTAGGCTTTTTGCAAGAGCCTGCTCTATCCTGATTCCCACTTTGGGTAGTTATGTTCTGAATCATTAGCATTTTTTTGCTGTTTTAGGTATGTTCTCTGATTGACTCCCCAACTTTGAACATGATTTTTTGCTGGAYTGCGTAAAGCAGCCGCTGTGATCTGCTCTGGGGGAGGCTGCACTTCAGGGAGGTTAAAGCAATTCTCCTAAGTGCATATTGCTCCTAGCTAAGGTAACACAAAAAAATAAAGAAATAAAAAATGATCCACTTGACACCAGAGGGATCAGGATTTAGGGTCTTTTTGCCCAGTTTTGCATTAACCTCATTCAAATTAGAAGTGTTTACAGGAATAGTCTTGATCCAACCATCTGCAAATAGCCTTGGGACACTTTGCAATGAAAAGCATAATATAAACACAGGACATTATTATTAAAATCAAAGAAGTCATAATGCCTTTGTACTTTGTGATGACAGAGAATGGTAATAGAGATGACACAGGGAACAGTTTAGCCGTAGCAGGAGGAAACTGATGTAAACTAATAAAAGAAGGATTCAAAGCTCCTAACCGTTTTCATGTAGTCAAATATGAAAAAGTACCAATGCTTAAAAATAAAGAGTAAAACAATATTTCTGCTTGCTCACATCTGGGAATCTAGCTTGGCTTACTGAAATACCTGCAGGTCTGTGCTGCAGTGAGATTATGGCTTCAGTGAGGCTTATTCTCCTTTTCATCATTTTTTTTTTTTTTTGTCTACTTAATGTTCTGTTATTTTAATCCAAGGGAAAAAAAGAAAAAAAAAAGGCCCAAGAAGTTTCTGTGATGTGAGGAGTGAGTCCATGCTGTTCTGCTAATCAGTGAACTGATCCAAGCAGAGGGTCACTCTCTTTGTGTCTGTTTTGCAGGGAGTTTTGCTATGCTTGGCTATAAAGGGCAAGCCAAGCCCTCCTGGATTAAAATCCTTAATCAAGCTGCTTATCAGAAAGCTGCTTCTCTACAGCATTACGTTCCCCTGAAGCTGAAGGAATATCAGTGTTCAGGTGGTGCTGAGGAGCCTCCGGAACGGGCTCTGTCTCGGGACCACTCGCAGCCCAACTCTGCAGAGACTGCAGAGCTGCACGGCTAAATCCCGCTGCGTCCCCGGCACGACATCGGCCRGGCAAATCCTACTGTTACCAAAGCCTGCCAGTGTTTTTACGGAATTGTAGCGAGCCAGTGTTGTCTATTTGTATATTTTATAATTAATAAATATATTCTCAAYTTATGGTCTGCGGCTGAGTGTTATTTTTAAGCAGTGCCTCGGAGGACAAGCCTGAAGGCTGCCCTTCTCTAGGAGATGAGAAGTATTTGAACATATCTACTCTTTGGTGTAAAACAGTAAGTTYTGAAGGGGAAAAACACTCTTCAGAGTCATAAGAACTGGAAATGAAACTTGGCATGGAAATTTTAGCGGCATCTGGGGAAACAGATGAACTGCAGCAGAGGTAGGAAATTCTCCATTCATCCCATTTTCCTTATGATAATGTCTGCATTAAAAAAAAAAAAAAGGAAATGTCCATCTAATATTGCTCCAYAGGTGAACTCAGGTTAATAAAACCTGCTTACGTTGATGGATAAGCCTGCACTGATCTTACAATAATATCTTCTAATCAAATTGAAAATATGTGGCAAAACAAGGAATTATAAATGTGTTTCTGTCTGTAGCTAATGACTGGTGAAATGATATTTGCTCAGCTGATGTGAGTATTTAATTAAAGACCAACAGGAATGAAAACCAGGATAAAGCACATGCTGTGTAGGGCAAAATCTTGCGTTCCTCTTTCCAGACAATGCTTATATTGAATTCCTTCTGCCTTTGAGGACTGGACAGCTTCTGGTATTAGTAGCTTACATTCTTTCTTCTTCATTTATGCTGCTGGATTTTTTTGCAGTAAAGAGAAAACAAGATCTTTGAGTACAAAATAAGAAAAAAACTAACAACCTCACTGACTAAGGTTAAGGTACAGAGTTATCCTTCAATGACAATATACTTGTTTTGGTTTGAATATGATGTTACTTGGAAAGAGCAGTAAAGGAGAGAGTGATTTCAAATATCTGTGTTTTTGTCACAGACTTCTTTACCAGCACAGAAAACATTTCCAAAATGCTCTGAACTATCAAAGCCAAAGAGATTGATATATGAAATGTATTTAGGTATCGCTGAGTGCTAATGGAAGTGGCACTGCATGGAAGAAAATCTCCAAAATCTTTCAAGAGGGAAGATGTCTTTTTTTTTTTTTTTTTTTTTTTTTTTTTGATTGGAGGCAATGTGCTCACTATTTCTGTATTGACTTGGTATGAAAAGCAGGATTGTCGATACAAGAAGGAAAAAAGCACTATTTGTTAGAAACAAAGAAAGAAAAAGAGAGCCAAAGGCAAATGAAAAGATGAAATTCCATGGTGTTCCTTTGTTACTGTTGACTTGTCTCCTACTAAACCTGCATCCAAAATCTATGCTTTATATGTACAGAAATCAAAAGGATTTCTGCCAGTAAAAGACACTGTTTGTTTCAAACTGAAATCATTTTGTATTTGTACAATATTGTATTTCTACAATAACCAAACATCTTTTGCCCTAACCAAACAACTTTACTTCAAGATGACTGGTAAAAAGCTTGTATTGGATCCCTTGCTGCAGTTTTTTTATGGCTGTGCTTTTGGCCTGACAGGTTTGTAGTGTTTTAGCAAAGGATCAGCATCTTTGTGGTCACCCTGGGAACAGTGTATTTTCTTGAGTGCTCTAGGATGGTGCTATGGCTTTGATTGGTTTGGCATCCAGGTAGAACAGAGACAATGGCCAAAGTTTTGATTCTTTAGACAGGGAGAACTTTATCTCTGTCTCTGCACATGAGGCAAACCAATAGCTGATAGATCTTGTCTAGCAGAGAGAAATCTAAAGGTTGGTACACCACTGTTGGTACACCACTGCTCAGATATACAGGTGAATGTGTGCATCCCTACGTATGCCTTCATGTCTATATCAGGTACATGCAATCCACATCTGCATGTAGATCTGTGTAACATTATGGACTTTTCTTTATGGAGTGACATGTTTTCTTCCAGCTCTTCTACTAAATGTAGCTGACCTTTTTCTTCCTGTGTGTTGTATAGTGGGAGCCTCGCATTTCAAGGCTAACCTTTATTTCGCTTGAGGCTTACATGACCAATTCTCCTTTCCTTTGAATTCCTGACAGCTGCATGCAGGTTTTTCAACAGGTAGGTGGCAACTTCATTACTAACATCCCGTTGTTGCTTTGAAATTCTCAGAAATGGCCAAAGAAATTGCTGCAGAGAAAGGTTAGAGTTCTGCTGGCTAGACTTTTGCTCCCTGGTGAGTAAGTCGTTCTGGCATCCACGTGCGCCGTCCAGCTGATGCTGTGCCACAGAGCTGGATCTACACTCCTTTGCTGAGGTGCTTACGTTCATCAGATACCTAATGCCCTTTGGTCCTCAGGGACCGGGAGGTAAAAGGACACCTGACAGGTTTACAGGGACAGGCAGAGGAGAGGAGCAGCCTGCAGCTCCATCTCCACAACAGGTAGGAGGGATGGAGCTGGSTCTGGCAAGGGGATATTTTTTGCTATAAATGTGAGGAAGTCAGTGCTGGTGCTCGGAGAAGGTAATGTGAAGTGGGATGTGGTGGGCTGCTCCATCTGGAGCAGGCACCACAGGAGCCCTTGGTGAGGCAAGCAAGGATATAAAGAGCTGGAGCAGGCTGGTCCCGACCCTCCAAGTAGCTCTCTGAAGTCCCTTTGAACTCCTGCTAGTACCTAATTGTTATGATTTCTGAGGCCATTTGGGGGAAGGAGGAAAGCAAGATGTTTTTGGCTGTGAGCTTTAGCCCAACATTGGAACAACTACTTACAGAACCAGCTCTTTATTTTCTTGGAGATTTATTTGATAATCTGTGACAGGTCCAGAGCCTGGATCCCAATAAAACCTTACAGAGCTCTAACCCCAGCCTGAGACTAAACAACTGGCGAAGGAAGAGCTTGGTGAAGGAAGGCGAGGAATGTGCCTAAACTTCTGAAAAATCTGGCATCTTCCTCCTGCCACAGAATGAGAGCAAATGGCAAAAGTCCTGGAGAGGAAGGCATGGAGCTGTGGTGAGCCAGAGGCAAACAGCAAAGTACCACAAAAGCAAAAAGAAAAATATTTACATCCTGATGCAGATATTTGAGTCGTTAAAAGCAGCAGTTTGAAGAGGACTTAGGATGCTGTGATCCTTTTGAGCCACTGCACACATTTTCCTTACCTGGAGAGGGAAAACAGACTTCAAAACTCCAAAACACTCAGCAGAGGCTACAGTCCCTCCGYGGACGCTGAGGACGATGCCTGCAAATGCTACTGCTGAGTTTGGGTGCCCCAGACGTCCGTGTGTGTGAGGCTGCAGTGGTAAGTGCAGAGCGGGCGTTGCCCTTCTGTTGTGCTGTCGTGTTCGGCTCTGGGCTTTCCTGGCTAAGAGCAGGCACTCCTGCGTGCTCAAGGCCACGTGGACTGTGTGTGTGTGTCCTATAGCCTGTCCAGACACACTTTGGTAAATTAATGCATTGACGACACGCTGCCTTCCTGATTATCCCCCAAGCATTTCTGCCTAGATACCCGGTAGCTCTGGCGCTCTCTGAAAGCATAAGACCCACTGTATGTTGAATTATTCTCTTTGGGCATAGTAAATTCTGTATGTCCTGAGCTTCAGAGAATGGGGCTCAGCTTCCCGTTGCTTTGATGCTTTGAAAACTTCATGCAGTGGGCGAGAGTTTAGCGCAGTGAAATGTGGAGCACTTCAAAAGCATTTGAAACTGGAAGTCAGTCAGCTTCTAATGGGCGGGATGATGTGAATTGCAAATGATTTTGTTTTAGCCCAGCCAAAAACTTCTTTTCCTTTCCAAGGGCTGTAACCTGTGAAAAAATAATTCTGAAAAAAAAACCCCAAAAAACCACATAGTTGAATAATTAAAGGCAAATTATTTTCCTTTATTTATGGTCTAAAACTATTTGACACTATTATACTAGATTTGCAAGCACTTTAGTTCCCTTTAATTTATTAATTCTAAGAACCTCCCTCTAATGCCAATTTCTTATTTTAAATATGTTTTTATGAATATCGGGAATTAGGAAACTTGCAGTCGTGTTTATATATGGGATGTGTGAGCTGAACCATCTGCCTGGTAGGGAGGGTTTGGAAAAATTTATAGAGAATTCATTTTTTTTGTAGAAGTCAGATCAATGCTTTGCACTTAATAACTGATTTTATTGAAAAGTAAGGTCTGATCCTGAGTTTAATCCGTCTCCTCCATTAGTCAAGTGCAAGCTAAAGGTGGCAGGAGCAGCTCCGCAGCTGTGYTGCTTGTGCTGTGATTAGGAAGGTGTTTTCCTTACAGATCCCTAGAAAACATGTTTGTTTATTTGCAAGGCTGTCTGAGGGCTTTAACCATGCTGGCGGACCAGTGGGCCAAGGCTGCCCCTGTGCAGAGTCCAGGACAGAGCCTTGATTTTGCTCTCCCAAGTCCCACTTTGCTGTGCTGTTCCAAAGCCCTGGCACCAGGACAGCATCCATGTCACTCGGCCATGGCACCTGCAGGGAATGCCGCCTCTCCGGGGAATCGCTTTACCTCTTTGCCCTTCAGCATTATCTGCTCCAGGCTGGCTCAAGCATTAACCCTGCAGGGACTGCAGTGGATCAGGCTTTCCATCTCCAGCATGTGCTTTCTAGTACAGCTCTGCTACCGGCACCTGCGGTAGCAGCCAGCTAAGTGCTAATGGTTTCCTGTATCTACTTTTAGCATTGTCTGCTGCTATTGTTCCCTCTCCGCCGTGATCCAACAGCTGGGAATCATTCTGGAGCGCGCGCCTTGCCAGAGCTGGGGGCGCGTGTCCCGTGGGCCCTTGCCGGACGGCTCTCCGTGCCTGGATGAGGAAGCTTTCCTCACCCAACAGAAGCTTCACAGAGCGTTTGGGAAGGCTTTGAGCTGGGCTCGGAGGACCTCCGTGTGGCCCCTGGTGTGGCAGGGAGCCCAGCCCATGAAGGGAGTTACTGCCAGGAGCGSTTACCTCAGAGCTGAGCTCAGCAGCGCTGTGGAGCAACAGCCCGATTCCCTCACAGCGCCGAGCGCGGCCTGATTCCGCGGCCTGATTCCGTCATGGCGCTGAGCATGGAGCTCACGCGGCGGCCACTGACACRGGGTAACCAGCTGCTCTTGAGGCCTCTCCAGCAGGAGACGTTAATGAAAGGGGTTTCTTTCTGTCCTCTTCTTAGATGAGGGAAATTAAACACGACTGCTTGTACCTTGCTTGGAGGGGGCAGGGCAGATGCTAAATTGAGTGTTTTCAGAAGAAAACTCCTGGACTTATACTTTCAGCAGGGCTTTACTAGCACTGTGCTGGCCAGGCTGGATCAGAGGAGGCAGCATTGGTGGTAGCGGCCATTCCTGGCCCACTCAGCTCTCAGCCTTCCAACCCAATGCCAACATGGCCCATAGTCACCCTGCAGCAAGCTCTGCTGCACAGAGCTGTGTGAAGCGCCCTACCTCGCTCATAAAGTAAGCAACATATAGCAGRCCGTACACTTGCTGGAGCTCAGCATACACCCGATGCCTCTGGAAATGAGATGAGTTTTCAGTGTCTCAGTGCTTGTTTTGATCTCTGCTAATGAAGGCGGGTGCCATCAGGGAAGAGTAGCATGAGATAGTGAGAGCCATTTGGGACTGGTAGTACTGGGCAGATCTTGGACTTAAAGGAGGCAGAGGCTCTGAGACTCCTTGTACTCTTTTCCTACCAATTTGCTACTGGTTATGGACAGAGATGGATTGGGAGCTGGAGGGATTACTGTGCTGACCTGRCAGGGATGTTCCTCTGAGTTCACAGGTTTTATTGGACCACAGAATTTCTTCACTGCTGTCAAAGTAGCAGGAGAGCCAAGGCCTGCTGTCGCAGTCATAAATTCAGTCCCTTCTCTTCATTTCTATGAAATATAATATCACAGGATTGTATTATAAAATCAACACCTTGCTGGATGGAATTTTATTTTATGCAATGCTAGTAGGCACTTGTGTCCATGTACAGATCTCTCTTATCTATAATGACCATTCTGTGATATTAACAATATTACTGTTTTTTTTGCTATCATTAAAGCAGGGTCTAGTGGCTGCATTTACTGATTACACTTTGCAATAATCATTAACAAATCTTGATGTTTTAATGGTGGTTGCTGTACTTTGGGTGTAACTCTCATAATGTTCTCTAAAAGAGCCCAGCTTATCAAAAGAGACCAGCTGATGGTTAATACCATTAAAAYGTCAGGCACGTGCAGCCTGGTTCTGGCACAAATTCCACAGCGATGCTATTGCTCTCTGATAATGTATATCATTCGAAGTTATTGCATTTCTAAGTGCATTCCTCTGTTCTACTGCTCTGTAACAGCATTTCAGCACCTGATAGACTGTCTGCACTGGGCCCCAGTCTGCGCCGTTTCCAGAGCTCACGGCTGTCAAATGCACTGCACCAGGGCAAGCAAACATTTTCCTGCTGCAGTGTTTCCTGGCAAATCTGGTTCTGATGGTATTTTTCATACCTTGAATGGTGGTTTGAATGTGTTATTGTACTTTGAACAGTATTAGTTTTGTGAGATTATAGATGTATTGTGCTTACACTGTAGAATTTGCTCCAGACCACATCATATTGTTCTGTTTATCTTTTCGTTTCTCTGTTTGCTCATTTTATTTTAAAAAGTGATATGAAAACTAATATGTGGGTCTTGTCCTAAAGAAACTGATCATCTTGCAATTTCTTTGAATTGCTTTCTTCCCATGTATAATTAAGCCATGAAATGCATACATTTATGCTATTTGAGCATCGCTATGTGATATGACAGATACTGGCTTCAATGATAAAACCTAATGGAGCACATGTGAATTTTAAATGGTGCCTCATGAATATAGCTCATTGAACACTTGCAGAATTGGATCTCCTTGCCTCAGTGTGAATATGCATGTCATTAAATTGTCACCATGGGGTAGAGTTGCAGAATCAATCAGTTGAGAATGTCGGGTAGAATCACATTAATCCTAACTTTGACTTTCATGACGTGGCTTTTTTGTTTTTGCTAGGCTGCTGGCTACTGCAGAAATAAAAATGACATTGGGGGCAGCTTTCAAAAGTTCTGGGCTGCCAAATTAAATAGAGAGTGTTTCTTGGATCTGAAGTCCAAGAAACTGAAAGTGCAAGTACAGTTTGGCTGGACGGTTCACAGACCACATTTGGTGAAAATGTGTGGGTGGAAGTGGGGGAGAAAGGAGGAGGTGCCCTTGAAAGACCCCTTCTTGCGAACTTGCCACTCTGCAAACTCCTTCCTAGTTGTATTTCATTACTCTTTTGCACATGTGAATATTCAGATCTAGAGAGTCTTGACACTGGAAGTGTTTATGCTGCATTCCTAAGGAGTTTTTGGTTACATCTGGTGGTTGCTTTCTGTGTATATATTTGGATTCCCAACTGGTTTTATTTTAGACCTAACAAAGGGTGAGGAGCTACCCTGGCTTTGTTGCTCTGCCCGAGATATTGCAGAAGTGGCTCAGAGGCCTTAGCTACTAATCTGAGCAGGAGTGGAAGTGCCTGTCAAAAAAAAAATGGATATAACCTTCTTTGCATAGCAAATGGGTTTGTGACCTGAAAGAAAAATGCCTTTTTTCTTGCTATTCTGTCTTTACAGGGGTCCRAAGAGTTGGAAGTACTGAAGAATGGCTTTGCCTACCTCCATTCGACTGGCRGAAAACTCTGTTCTGCTTCTGTTTGTAATCTTCACCATAAGCACAGGTAAGCTTTCCAGCAACAGAGGGAATAAGCGCATGGTCCATAATAATAGTCTTAAATAAAGACATTGCTCRTACAGATTGAGTGATTTTGCACTATTTAATCCAAGTTATAACRAGATGATAACATGGACGAGGTGATGGAACTCAGGAGGAAAGGTATTTTTAGACTTACCCATCTTTGTGGATTAGAGCAGCAGGAAGGCAAAGGTGGAAGGTGCTGAGCAGATGTCCTCAGGCGTTTCAGACTGTGCCTAGCAGCAGGACAACCAAACCAAAGCAGCCATTGCAAAGAAGTAACACAACCAACCTCAGTTCCTGACAGCTGTGCTTGTGGGAGGTGACATCTGAGCAGTTTAGTGTATGTCCAGGTACATRTGTGGAGAGCAGAATGCTCTTGGTGTGACTTGCTGTCCATGCTGATGAAGGACAGACCCTAAGATMGTGTGAAAGCGAAGTGGTAGATGCATGTTCTAAGTAGAGCCTTTTGGGGGTTTTATTTGCTTAAAACAAAGAGACCAAATGTTTTGCCCAAATGCTGCAGCCACACATCAGCATGAAGTAACCTCGCATTCTTTGAGCCCTTTTGATCAAGAAGCAAAACCTCCAGCTTGTTCCTTGTGCTAGGTAGAAATCGTGATATCACTGTGAAGAAGTCATGGAGAGGAAGAAAACAAGTTGAAAGGGGAAGTTTGGATGGGCTGAGTGGACAGTGTGGAGTCCTTTGATGCCTAGGCTGCTGCTGGTGCATGGCCAGGGTGGTGGCAGCCCCGGCAAGGAATGCRTCAATGAATTCATGAATCCAGGTCCTATGATCTGAACTGAATTGGCCTTTACTTATGGTCATCCCAGTTGTTAGGGTAAATTCCTTTTGATTTGCCGTTGTGTTTTGCTGTCTCTTGCTCTCTCTTTTCAAATAATGAATTCTGGGGACAGAGATCATCATCTGAATCTATTGGAAGTCCTTTCAGGTACTGGCATGGCTAAACAAATGAAAAAGTCAGCAGATATTTTCTTGGTCAGTTAACCTAGTTGGTAAATTTCACCTTTATGTTTGGTTCAGGGCTTCTGATCTTATTTGTCTTCTTAGTGTAAAAAATTTTCAGTTATCCTTATTTCTAAAAGWATAACAGGTCATATTTTGAATTCATTGTCAGTGTGCATTTCTGAGCATCTGTTTACAGCGCAAGTCCCGTTACTGCCCCAAATATTAATCTTTTCCGACTCTTATTAATTCTGTGCATCTCCAGTGGGATCCAGGAGCCTCCTACTTACTTTTCTCAATTACTGTAAATCAGAAGCAGAGCTGTTAACATTAACAACGTGCTTCCAGTTTTCAGCTGGCACAAGCACTATCAAAATTAGGCTCTGGATGTTTATCATTTGACTAGCTACCCAGTGGATTATTAGCTCCCCTTGATCAGGTTGCTTCATTTGTATGGAAGAAGTCTACAGAGAGCCAAGGCATCTGTTGCACACATGAAATGTCCTTTGCTTACCTTGAAGAAATGGCATTTAACAGGTCCCTGGAGACATCCAGGCAGTGGCTGGTCCAGTTTTATTGTTATATTGAGACGTGGAATTGGTGGAGAAATCTGAGGAGGCAAACCCAGATGGATGGGTGTTTGAGTTGGAGATGTCCCCCTTGTTTCGCAGCAGCAGTATCTGGACAGCAGCTCCTTCCCAGCTGCACTGGCTCTTGGACACATTTCCTTGCATGGACCCACACTAACCGTCTTTTCCATGAGCTGAAAGCTTTAGTATTCGTGGGGGAGGTGGAAATCCCAACCGAATTGAGAGTCCTGGAAACCTAACCCTGCCAAAGCTTACCCTGCATCTATAGTCCTGTAGTCTTTTAGCTTTAAAGAAAAAATCTGGAGAGCTGGTGAAAACTCTCAGCTCGCTCTGAGGGCAAGGAGGACATTGTTCAGACTTCCACTGACTTSAGTTTCCGAGGATTAGGAAGGTTTCTACCACTAGAAAATATGCATAGCACGTGGGACTCTCACACTTCCAAAGTGTCATTGATTAGAGTAAAACATGAGGCTCACATATCCAGTGAGATTATATCAGGGAAATATTTTATCTTAGGTAAATATTTATAACATGAGACTCTTGGATGGAGCAGTTTAGACAAACACGTCATGGCAGTCAGAAATCAAAACGTGTGTGGAGACTAGTGATGTGTGAACCTGAAGAGAATGGCTCCTTATCAGCTTTGTCTGAAAGACCTCACGAAGCCCAAGTGTCTCTTGTGGGATATTCCTCTTGCTCTCTATTTCTGGTTGGACTGRTAGTTCCTTGATCCTTAAGTGTTCTTGACACTTAGAGCACTTTTATTTCCCATCCCCAAGGAAAGCAAGGTATGCAAACAAATTTAATTCTCTTCTTTACGTTGAATGCAGCTTTTCAAACCTTAAAGTTATTTTGAGGGCATCAGGTGGCATTTTTGAAGGTGGTTCTTGTTTTAGTCGTTCATCGTCATCTTCACAGGCTTCATGTCTGGGCAGTTATGAACAGAACTAAATTGCATCTTTTTCTCTGGTGTTTTTCTGGGCTCAGCATCCCTCACAAGGGATGCATTGCATGGAGAAGCTGGTTTGCCTTTGCTTCCAGAGTTCAGTAAATTGTGCGTCGTGAGCTGTTGTTCATTTTCTTTTGCAAGGCCCCCCTCTACTGTACTCTACCCTGTGTACTATAATCGCAAAAATATCGCTGCATTCCTGGGAGTCAGCAAGAAAGGGTATGAGAACCATCTTGTAAAGATGCACAGATAGGAGCTTTTCTGCCTTGCACTGAACAAAAGATAATTGTCCTTGTTCTTCATCTACATCCAGCAGAAGCAGCTGTGGAATGTCCTGATAAGGATCCTGAGCTAGAAAACTGGAACCCAGGTCACAATGAAGAAAACCACGTCGAAATCCGTAATGGCAGGAAGCTCCTTCTCTCATCTTCTGCCACTGTCCACTCCATCCACATCACAGATGGAGGTAAAACAGTCTACCTCCATAGGGGCGAGGTCGAGTGGAGAATAATTTCTATTACAGCTATTTAAACCATAATTCCCTGTATAACGCTAGATGGGCTTCCTGCTGCTTGCTGGTAATTAGATGGCTACTGGACAAACCCAGCTTTAGTTTGGTACAAGCGTGGGTGGTAGCTGAGATGATATCAGTTCTTTGGCCATGATAGTTAACCTGTATGTTGCTCTTACTGGAGAATTTGCAAAAGTACTTCCAAATATTCACTAGTTCTACTTGTGCAATTTGCTTCAAAAACATTTTTTTAATTAAATTATTGTGCTGATAGCATCATAATGAAATAGTTGTGTTCTCAGGGTCTCAGGACAGGGCAGATACGTATGTGCCGCTGTCTGTAAAGACAGAGTCAGTGTTGCTGTGGTGCTGGCRTGTACAGCTTTTATTCATCCTGACTCTGAACTTCTGCCTCAGATTTGAATGAAGTCTTTTTCCATTCAAATCTTTATCACTGTATTCAAGTACTGGGCTTAATAAAAAATATGTAATGTCTTTTGGATTTGGCCTGGGAGCTACTTTGGGAAGCCYGGCCAGCATATCTCAATAGCTTAGATGAGAGCTCAGCACTGGCTTTAGCACGACTGTATCTCAACCTTGGATGAATTGCTATGAATTAAAGCAAATGACATAACCTTTTCTATTTAGGAAAACTGGTCATTAAAGACGATGTACAATCTATCATTTTGCGTGCTAGACATATACTCATTGAAAATGATGGAGAGTTACATATCGGCAGTGGGACGTGCCCTTACCAAAGCAACGTGGCCATCATCTTATATGGGCGGTATGTATGTACAATAAATATAAGTATCATCTTAGAACTTGCTAGGATATCTCTTTCATACAGGGAATTGTAAATGTTCCTTAAAATTACTTTGTCTGAGATGCACTTCAGTGCTGYGAGGGAGGTTCACTAGCTTGTTGGACCTTAAAAAGATTAGCCTTTAAAAATGATAGTTTTGTTTCTGGTTTCTTTTCCTATTGGTCATGTCAGATCATCATATACCTTGTGACAAACTGATTACTAGTTTTTCCAGAATAGGTGTAAAGCCTAATATGCATTTCCTTTTAAGATTTGTTTTTTATTCTGAAAAAAATCTCTTCCTTTAACATCCTTTCTTTTTATGTAAGAGTCGGAAGCAAGTGAGACAAAGGATAAGAAATTTCTATGTTGCAGAACACTACAGGATCTCTAGGATTTTCAAGGATGCAAACCCCAACCTACTAATTCCTAGTTAGAGTCCTAATTTCTTGTGGAAATTAATTGAAAAATACACATGTGGTGTTCAGTCTAGGTTTCATATAATTGGTGTTCCAGATTGCTGCTAGTCTTCAATAGCTGTTCATATTATTTCAAATATTGTATCTTCCATGGAGTGTGAACAAYTGCTATTTCTTTGTATTGTTGAAATAAATGCATTGCAAATCATGACACTTCTCTCCTGGGCTGTAGCAGAACAAGGAAGGAGGTTTTCTTGACTGTCAGATTCTGAAACCAAATTGGATCCTTTCTTCTCTTCCTCTTGCAGAGCGGATGATGGCAGCCAGCCAAATCCCTACTTTGGGCGAAAGTATATTGGAGTAAGTAGGGGTGGTACTCTTGAGATCCATGGAAAGAAGAAGTTATCCTGGACTTTCTTAAACAAGACTCTGCATCCTGGTGGCATGGAAGAAGGTGGCTATTACTTTGAAAGGAGCTGGGGCCATCGAGGTGTCATTGTCCATGTTATTGACCCAAAGACAGGAGCAGTTGTCCATTCCGATCGGTAAATCACTTTAAAACTACCAGGGTCTGAGGGTCTTTGGGAACAGCATCTCAGTAAGATTAGGGACATGCATTTCAGCATTTGGTTTAAATGGGTCTGACTGCATGTTAATATACAATGCCTTCTGGTAAAGTAATCTCCATAAGAATGAGTAAGGTTAATGTCTTGCTATGCTGTTAACTGGAGCTTAATCAATTCACTTGGCCAGAAACCTCTCACATATCTTTGTACACAAAGTAGTGAACTCTCCTGATCTAGCTCATTTTCCAGTGCATGGGAAAATACTGATCTTGCAAGCGATAGAAAAGGGATGATTTCTTTATAACATTTGCTTGTCAATACAAAAAGCTGTGGTCTCGTGAAGTAAATGTTTTGGGGTGTTTCTACCGCTTTAGGTTTGATACSTACAGATCAAGAGGGGAAAGTATACGTCTTGCCCAGTATTTGGGCAGGGTTGCGGATGGCATGATCCTGTCGGTTGCAGTGAACGATGAAGGATCCAGAAACTTGGACGACACAGCCAGGAAAGCAATGACCAAACTGGGCAGCAAGCATTTCCTCCACCTTGGGTTTCGGTATGTGCCTGCAATGCCAGCTCTACCAGCACAGAGGCTCTATTATACTCTTTGGGTGCCCAAATAATTCCACTCCCTCAAAGGCACAGGGTTCTTCATAAGGAAAAAGGAAAAAAAAAATGAGGGAAACTTTTCAATATGAAGTCTTAGCACAGTTAATTGGATAGTTTAAGATGCACTCAGTGTCTACATTGAGCTTTTTATTAGCAAGCTGAGGAATAACATATGATTCAGATTAAAAAGATGCATTTTTCCGAGATAGTAATCCCACAAGTTACTCATTCYTATTTATTTGCAAGCTGTTCTCCCAGGATTTGAGAAGTATGTCTATATCCACAGTGGACTGGATGGATTGAACATTAAGGAGACTAGAGGAATTACCATATAGCCCTAGCTAAATGCATAGAGACATGCATGCAGTATGTTCTTCAGCTCATCCAATCATATTCTGGGTGTTGTGCAGCACAAAATTTAGCGTTCATTAAATTTATGCTTCAAACTGTAACTACTTCTGCAGCCAGTTTAGTGTCTATGTTGGCACACCCACTGATTTTGAGAATACTTTTTCCCAACTGTAGCCATTTTATTTTTTTTTTTGTTTAT